TTTGGGAGCAATCAAAAGCATTTTCTCCCCTAAAACGCATCTCAGAGTGTATTAGGACAGTACATGAGACAGAAATGGACAACTGGAGGCCTGAGGTTATTTGGCTCCAAAGTAACTGCCTGGGCCCACAAGCATTTTAATCAAACGTGATAAAAAGTGTGCCAAGTTTGACTTTTAAGGAAAAGGATTGGAAAGAAATACAAGTTATCAGAAAATTTGTATCAGGTTAGCTAATCTGTGGTTCTCTAGCTCTTGTTGTCTATCTAGCTCACTACTGTCTATGATCCAACAGTAGCTTTCCAGGATCTTAGACAGAATTTTTTCCATAACCTGTCAGCAGCTCGTTTTTTAATCCGATACCAGGGATTGAACCTAAGTACTTTTGCATGCAAATCGGACACTATAGTACTTGAGCTATGGCCCCTTTCACTACACCGTTGCAATTAGTCTTTTTATATTTGGATTAAAACAGGAGTCCTCTCTCCTCAGCCTCTATGCACAATTATAGTTTTAATTTGGAAAACTGCCTAAATTAGTCAAATGTACAAATACACATTCTAAAGTATGCTTAGAAGAAAAGGACTAAAAATATAGTAAAGGTAAGTTATGCAATGTACAGCCACTTTAAAAGATTTACTATATGTTTCATTAATCAAGCTTTTTTTTGGCAGTCATGCACAAATATCATGAGACTGAAAACCACAATTTCCTGCGCTACAATTTGAAGAGAAGGCACAAATCATCCATTACTTGAACATGAAAAACTCATGTTTGCATGAACATGCAAGGTCTATAGTAGACACTTTGGCACCATTATTGAAAATGAAATCTACACAGTCTTCTTTGCAGTGTGAACATTCATATCTATGGGAATCCAAAGTACAAAAGTTGCTTTCAGTCAGATCCTATATTTGCGAATTTCATTGTGTTCAATGGCAACAATACCAATGCACTCACAATGGTGGTGTTAGGCTACAAATTCTAGACAAGTCTACTCAAAAGCTGTGAGTTCATGGAACTTACTTCCAAATAAACATGCACTGAAGTGCCAATGTATTGTCTCAATTCTGATTGCTTCTTTTTCTAAATTCCATAGTTGAGTTCTAGTAGATACAAATTCATTTCTCTCTCCAAAGGGTGGCATAAACACCTGGGAGGTACGGGCAAGCAAGGGATTGTATAGTATGAAGACAGTGACTGATGTTCTGAAGACTTGCAACCAGGCACACTGTCATGCAGAAATCAGAAACTCTCAGCGATAGTTTTTACAGGCACATTTGTGGAGCAGTATGTCCAATTTCCCTTTAAAAGGATAAGTAAAATAAAAATACAAATCACCAAAAGCAAAACTTACCACAATCCTTTTCAACTGAGTAAACTCTTACAATCTTTGAGTTCTGCTGAACATTAACTAAGAAAGGAGAAAGATAATTTTAATATTTCTTGTAAACCACTTAGAGGTTCCACTAGAATCAAATGATATATAAAAAAAGGTAAAGGTAAAGGACCCCTGACAGTCCAGTCATGAACGATTCTGGGGTTGCTTTACTGGCCAAGGGAGCTGGCGTACAGCTTCCGGGTCATGTGGCCAGCATGACTAAGCCACTTATGGCAAACCAGAGCAGCGCACGGAAACACCGTGCCACATTGTCATTGTGTTTCATTGGTTAATCCATACTTTACTTGCGAAGTCTTATATTCCACAAATTTATAATTTTCATCAATTAATTGATTCAATGTCAAAATACCTTTTTTCATCGAATTTTGCCAAATTATTACTTGATTTCCAATGTTTAATTTTGGGTTGGCCCATATTGTTTATTTCTCATGCTGATAGGGGTCGTCCTTATTTTTATTTATATTCATCCAAATTTTTATAGGTGCTTTAATAGACTCCAGGATAATAGGATATTTCATAAAATTGGAGCCGAATTTAGTCCACCCTACAAGAGGTTCAAAGAAACTATATACGAGAGTAGCCCAATTGGGATTCCTGCTAGCTCTCCAATTAGTCTTACTCAGTAGGTAAGCCTGGTGATATGATTCCAGATTTGGGAGCCCAAAGCCGCCTTCCTTAGCTGGAAGTTGCATTTTATGGAGTGATATTTTTGGTGATTTTGTACCCCACAGACAAGATCTAAATAGTTAATTTATTTTTTGGAAGTATAATTTGGGAATATATATTGGTAATCCTCTAAGAATGTATAAAAGCTTTGGAACAACGTTCATTTTGAGGACATTAACCTTTTCCCAAAGGGAGAGGTTTAGAGGTCCCCACCTTTCAATATCAAAAGAAATCTCATTTATAATTTGACTCAAATTTAATTTTACAATTTGGGCATAGCAACTTATTTTATTCCCCAAAGCTGAATGATTAAATACCAAACTACAATTAACTACATATTTACCTTACATTATTCACGTAAAAAAATCAATCATCAGGGACAGACAAACTTGATGAGTGGAACATCAAAGACCACAATGTAGAAAATGTTTTACCAGAACCCCCAATGTAGTAAAAAAAAATTTCATTTGATTACTGCATTGAGTGTGTGCATAAATTAAGCCTATGCTTCGGACTGTATATTCATGTTAATTACCTTGACCAACCAGATACAGAAAGGGGCACACTTTACAAATGTGGCCAGCAAATCTATTTATTAATATAGATTTTTATCCCACCTTTCAGAGAATCTACCTTCACAAGATGATTTACATCATCAGTGACAAAAAATATATATGCTAAAATTTACAAATTGTTAAAACAGAACTCACATAAAAAGCAGATGAATTACAACTAGCAACAGTATATCCATCCTGGCACCAAACTTTAGCGCATATCCCAGAAAAAAAGCCAGATCTTCAATTGGAGGCCAAAATTCCGCAGGGGAGCTCGAGAGCTGGGGTGTCATCACCAAGAAAGCTCTCTGTTTTACTTCATAGTTTGCTTCAGCTTGAGATGCTACAGTTAAGAAGGCCTCCCTGGTAAATCTTAGTAAGTGAAAAGGTCTGTATAGGAGCAGCTGTCCTCTCAGGTCTCCAGGGTCCAAGTTGTATAGGGCTTTCAATACAAATATCCAGAAGTGAGCCTTGTAGTATATTGGCAGCCACTGCACTAACTTCAGAAGAGGCATTATGTGCTTATGGTCATATTCAACAAGAGACTTTTGCAATTTGTATCTATAGCTACTAGACCAGTTTGAAAACCAGCCCATTACACCAATACTTTATAGAGGTTACCAGCCCATAGGCCATCAGGCTAGGATTTTGCTGTTCAGGAAAGCTGTAACATAGGTGTGGCAGATGTATTTTTATGTATATGCATGTTTGTGTTGACAAGTTTACCATTTCTGTTTTGGGTTGAATATATTTGCTAAGGTTAGTTAACCTGGGAAAACAGGGAATAAGTTAAATGTAAATAGTTAAGTGTGAGAGTGTTATGGGCAGTCTTGGCAACTGTTACTAAGGGATTTGGGATGTTGGGAAAGTGAAAGTTGAAGCAGTTAAGAAGGGCGGGGAGAGAAACAGAGGGAGATGGAAGTGCGATTTGGAGTACATCTGGTTAAGGGAGACTGTAATCAGGTCTGCATGTGGATATGGAAGAAAACAGGGATGGAATGTGTGGGAGGTGCAGGGGGAACCAGAAGTCTACACCAAGGACTCATGAAAACATCGCTCCACAGAAACACCCAGGCAACGCCATGGTATCATACAGGAATCAACTGGGGAAAACGACTGCAGTGCTGAATCATTGTACAAGGCCATAGCCTTGAAAGGGTATTATGTACTAGAGAAATTATTCTTTGCATAATTTAGAACAAAAGTTGTTTTAACACATGTAGGCTTGCAAACTCCCTTTCCAGAGTGCGAACTGTGAAGGTAGTCTTCCAGTTGTCACACTGACCTACCAGCCAAAGGTAATAAAGGACTACATTCCTTCAGAGGGAGTGCAACCCCATCTAGAACAAGCAATTCGCCTGATTTCTGGATCTGGAAACTATCTACTCACAGGACCTCAATCTTTTTGGGATTCACTGGCACACCACTAAATTCAGGCATGAGTCCAGAACCTGCACAGCTTCACCTGGCTTGTATAGAGAGCATACTGATGCCACTCCAATCCCCCAATGACACCACCAAATGTTTCAACATCACTGGTGACAGAACCCTGTAAACTCCCACAGTTCAAAACGCAAAGGGCCGATAATGGTTGCAACACTGTGCTTCCAACACCTATCTCAGAGCTGCTCAGGATACCCTGGTGGATGGTATCAAAAGCTGCAGAGATCCACAATTAACAAGGTTGCCTTCCCCATCCATCAGCATGACCAAAGCTGGTACAGATGCCAAACCAAGCCTGAATCTAGACTGGAAAGGGTCTAAACATTTCCTACAAGAACAAATAAGAGCTTAGCCAGCACCACCCTCTCAAGCACCTTCCCTACAATGGGATATTGGCAACATGATAGTTGTTTCAAATAACCCACATTAGACCTGGAGATTTGTATCATTTCCTGAAGGAAATTTAGTACCGCCCTAGCAGTGATGTGCAAGTTTTTGTTTCCTTGTGTGCTGAACTTATGCATCTGAGAAGAGGCCCACAGCAGCAGCATTATAGTATGGAAAGAATAGATGGGAGTGGTGTGCTTATGAGGAAAGAGCAATCTAATGAAAGGAGCAGCAAGCATCTGCAAAACTCTTTTAATTTTCCAATTTTATTGTTTGCTGTCACAAAATCCAATTATGCAAATTAACACCTATCTGCTTTTGGAAGGTCATGCTAAGTTACTAATTTTGAAAACAGTATGAGGACTTATAGAAAGTGCTGTAAAAGAGCTGATGCACTGGAAGGTTTAGTCTCACCCAACCTGAGTCTCAGCACTCTGCTCAACCTGCTGGATTCAACTTGATTCCATATTACAAAAAAGAAAGTCCCACTGCATTCTAGAGCCTTTGAATCTTTTGTATTTTTATGGTGCTACTTTCTTTTTTGTTATTTTAAGATTAATTTAACAACATGATCAGATCTAAACCAAATCACTGCTTACTCCTTGTGTAATACCACTCTTGGCCTTCAATTCAACCTTGTGTTAAGCATTCAAATGGAGTTGTCCACCGTATACCTCTCCATGAATTCCTACTCCATTCCATACTGCTGTAGCCACCAAGAGTCACATGTAATTAATTATTATTTTTTTAACAATAAAGGCAAGATGACTAAATCCTGTAATTTACCTAAGCAGATTTGGTCTATGGAATGAGTGGAGCCTCAGGTTCAGAGCTGCATAGGGCCCTCCAAGAGAGGGCTCTAAGGCACAACCTTCACCAACTGTTGTTGAGTAGTTTTGCCTGGCTGCAATGTATTGTTGAACTGTAATAATTCTTCTTGCTTACTTGGATGGAGAGCTGTGCATGTATGCTGAAACCTCCAACTTTTGTGTGGCTGGAATGTAGCCTCTTGCCTAAAGGTAGGGTTGCCATATTTCAAACAGTGAAAATCTGGACAGAAAAGCTGTTGAGCTTTCTTGGCAAAATCACAGAAATTTGCCGTTTCTGAGCTCCTTTACTGGAATATCGGCAAAAACGGCCCTGCTGTCATGGGCTGCCATACGTCCGGATTTTCCGGGACACAGTCGATTTCCGCCTGGACACTGCTGCCAACTGCAGTATTCCGGATAAGTCTGGGAGATTCCGGACATATGGCAACCCTAGTCTAAAGGTAAAGAGTCAAAACCGTTTTATCCCTCTTTTGCCTAACTACCACTGGCATATGGTTCCTGGAAGTTTGTTCACAAGAAAATTAGGCCATTGGGTTGAAAAAGGTTCCCCACCCGTGTCTAGAGCCTTAAACATTAAGATAAAAGGCACACAGTACAACTCAGTATTGCAAAAGAAGCCCACAAACGTTACTAGCCTTGAAAAATGTTTACTAAGCCTACTGGGGGCTTGGAGAAGAGGCAAAACACCCTCTTTTACAGCAGCTGTGAGCTTCCATCCTCTGTCTGCTCACATGCAATTCCTTATCACCTATGGGTATCAGGGCTAGTTCTTAAATACAAGGCTGGTAGAACTCTTCTGAGATTATACCACTATAGAACACAGATGGGGAAAAGCATGACAAAATATTCAAAATAGCATCAGGGGTGAGGGGAGAATAATTTTCCTTGACATGCTACTTTTGCATTTTGTCATGCAATTCCTTCACCTAAATTTATAACTGGAAAATTCCCAAGATAATTGAACCATGTGGTTTTTCTGATCATGTAGATCAATGCTTAGTGTGTTTCTATGACAGCGATGCCATTTTGAAACGTATATACTTACATTTAAGCTCACCAATGTAACCCTGAAAGAAAAGCACTAGAAATCAAAGAGAACAGTCCAAGCCAAACAAAAAAAGAGAACAGTCCAAGCCAAACAATATCCAGCTTTATTAAAGGTACTTTTCATAAAACAATCAATCAATGGTATTCAGGCAGGACATGGTCTACAATCTGCAATGTTTTACAACAAATTCCAACTCCCCTTTCTTCTTGGACTACCAAAATGTAAAGTTACTATATAAAACCCAATGAAATCTTCAATTCTTACTTGGAACAGGGAAAGTTTAGAGTGAGGGTGGACACTTTCACATTTAGTATGTTGTTTAACAACTTTTCACAAGCCTACCCTGACTTTTAGAGGAAAACAAAACCGTAGAATTCTTAATTTGAAGATTCACAATATAAGAAATGTGGCTCATCTGAGAGCCATCCTTCCCCCACCCCATAGTATTTGACACCAGAAGTCTGGATTGCCTGACACTGTGAGTACGAATCTGATTTATGAGAGCAAGTATCAAAAGACCCTATGCCACACTCAAAGGAGTGGTAAATGCAATGCAAATGACAATGTGAAAGAACAGACAGAGGAAGTCTAAGTACTGTTTTAAATGTACCTTCTCCTCAGACACAAGCGTTTTGGGAACTTCAGTGTTCACTCAAGTATTTCAGAAACCAAAGATGAACAATATCAGGGAATCCCCCTTTCTTGTGTCCATGTAGACCCCCTCTTGTAAAATTGAAGGGGGGCTTTTAAAAGCCCAGGTTCTAAGTAACAGAGTCAATGGCATTTGTCCCCTCTCCTTCCCCCAAAACACAACAACGAAGCGTTCTGTGTGCTAACAACATAGCTTTAAAAAAAAAGTAAAACAAAATTCTGCATTGTTATAAAACTTGATAAAAAATAGTATTTCAAACTGTACAGTCACCAGAAGTACACAGTTATCAAAAATTCACACAATTCACTTGGCATCCCCAGCACCTTCAGCTTTCTGTGCCTGAAAGACAAAGGCAGTCCCGTCAGTTTTCTTTATGCTAATGCAAGCTTACTACCCACATAGGCCACTGTCTGCATGAATCTATGTAAATTATATGAAATAGACACACACCCATTAACACAATGCAAGCTATTATGAGAAAGTATTGATGTTAGACTTGAGCAGAAGAACGAAGACAAATATTTCTTACATAATTTTTAAAGCTGTAATCTCATATACAATCGGGAGCATATTATTCCATTCATACACAATCCTTTCACAACAAATTAACAAAGGAGTTTGGAGGAAACATGTTGGTCCATATCACTAAATATATAGTTTAGCAAAGTAAAGAAATCTACTATATTGCTATTATACCTGGTCTGTTTTGGCATCTCCATTTTCTGCAGGATTGTTTCCATCCTTGCCTGCATCAGCTTTCCCCTTCTTCCCCTTAGGTACCTTCTCAGCCTTCTGCCAATCAATGGAAATAATTAATAGTTCACAAACCATAAACATCTGCTGATATAAAGGACTTCACACAATTTAAAACAATTGTTTGAACATAAGTATCTCAGACCAGAGAACAAAGATGTATTCGAGTTCAAATTGCATCCAATTTGAATTTTACCTTTGGAGCTGCTTTTTTAGGTTTAGGTTCTGGCTTTGGAGGAGCAGGTTTCTAGAAAAGACAGAACAATTCAAAAGTAGTTTTGAAACAATAAGGTGTTTGTTCACTTTAGTATATGATGTCATGCTTAACAGCCAACTTAATCCCTTTCAGGGTGTCAATGAGTTGACTATCAGTAGTTCTTTAGAAGTTACTACTGCTAACAACCCTAAAGGACATTCCATCATACAAAATACTTACAGCAGATAACCTTGCTGATCTCCGCTGTGGCTGTTTTAAAAAAGAAAAGTTAACCATTAGAATGAGTTGTTTCTTTTAGAATAGAGACCTAAAATCCAGCATTCAAATACACACATTACATTCTACTGATACAATTTTCAAGATCAGAAAGCTAACATACTTCTAGTAGCATATCTCCATCTGACAAGTAAGGTTAAAATGAGAACAATGTGGTAAGAAAGCTAGATACATACAAATCTTTGCAAATTACACCACAAGCTTAACCATCTCTACTCAGAAGTAAGCTCAACTGAATTCAATGGGGTTTAGTGGCAAGTGAATACATTTGGGATTTCAGTTTTAGTCTATAACGTAAAAATATATTAATGCTCTTACCTCATCCTTTGCTTTGGCCTTGTCACCCTTGGTATCTCCTTCAGCCTATAAGGAATTTAAAAAGTGAAACAGCTGGAGAAACCCTACGCCATCAATCTAATTTCTTCGGAGGTTTCAAAAACTTGGATAAGCTAATGTTACTTATATAAAGAAAAATATTTAATGCATTGCAAAGCTTACAATCTCATCTTTGTCCGATTCCTTTTCCTCAAATTTGAAAATAGCACACACTCTCACAACTACTTAATATTATTTTTCCTCCCTGTATACAGTACAGAAACCTGCCATATATAGAATCAAACCATTAGTCAATCTAGCTCAGTATTGTCTACATTGACTGGCAGCACTTTCCAGGGTTTCAGGCAAGTCTTTCCCAGCCTTATCTGGAGAAGCATGGATTGAACCTGGAACCTTATGTGTGCAAGGCAGATGCTTTACTACTAAGCTATGGCCTTTATATTTTAAATCAAGATGTTGGCATTTTAAATCCTATGCTCAGAAAACCAAGAAACTGCTTGTGAAAAATCAAATAATTTTTCTGGTTGCATAAAGAAAATATGCGGCATAGAAGATGCTCCCTGGGGCCATATAGTGTTGTCAGAAGCATCAACTATTGCAATATTCCAATTTATGTTCCTACAGAACCAAGTTTTACTCAATGCAAGTTCCCATAGTATTTGACAATTATCATTTCAATAAATTTGATATATTACTAGTATCTTCTAATTTTAAAAAATGGCTATATTGTATGCACTTCTGCATCCTTAGTGACCATATGTTCTCCCAATGAGAGATGTGTTTGTGGGAGGGTTGTGTGGATAACAGCATTGCCAGATGCCCCTAATTTTGATGCATTATTCTTTATTCCCCAACACTGCAGCTCTAGGCAACATAATGGCTCCTTTTATTTCAGAACACTATGACCTCTATTGAGTCCGTGTAACAGACCCAAGATCTCACTTATTTCTGGAATTTTGATCTTGCAATTTGAACCTTGCTTGCCTGCCTACCCCTAGTGCCTCTTCAGACCTATGAAACCACTCACTGTGCGACATTTAAGACTCTCTTGTCGCTTTAAGCCTTAAGGGATCATCCCTAGATTCAGAGCTCAGGCAACTCCCCTGGGCCCAACATACCCCCTCCTTCAAAGACACAATTGGGAAAACAATCCCGAATGCCTCTTTGAAGTGAAAGGTGGATTTGGCAACCTAAAGGGCTCCAGAGAAGCAAGCCACAACGTGTACGTGTGTGGGCAACTCTAACCCTCCTTCGCCTCTCAACACTTAAGATGGTCACTTTCCCCCTTAGAGAGAAGGCAGGGGGCGGGAAAGATTCGCTAAGGAGCGCATGTAGGGCGGGAGGCGGGGCCTCTCCAACATCTTCACTGACAGGGGAAACCTCCATCCCCCGCGCAAACAACTGACAAGTCTCTCGCCAGGACTCCATAGGGCTGATCTTTCCCCTCCCCCAGGGCTTTCAAAACTACCGCTTTTTTTTTGCCTTCCCGCCTTTTCGGGAGCGCGGGGGATGGCGGGGGAGAAAAGCCTGCGGCCCCCCCCCGCCCCCATTACTGTATTTATTTGTGACGGAAGCGGGGGGGGGGAGGCGGATGACAGAACGCGAGTGGGAGTGCGCGCACGCGCCCATTTTTCCAACGTACCCCGCTTTATGTTTGCACGGGCGCGCACGCGCGCGCCCAAACACCTACAACCAGCCACGCACGTGCCTCTCTCCAGCCAACCACCCTCCCGCCAAAAAAAAACAGCCAGCTCGCTCCGGCTAAGCTTAGTCTCTTATCTTCCATATCTTGCTCTTCTGCCCACCCGCTGGCGGGCGCGTGCCCCTTCCCTATTGGTGGGGACTTAAGTGAGCGCGCGGGCGAGAAACTGCCAATGATTAATATTCTCGCGCCCATTCGAGTGCGCGCGCGCGCGCCGTCTCTCTCGCTCTCTCTTCTTCCTTATAGTTCCCCCCCCTCCCTACCCCCGGCGATCAAGAATGCGCGACGGTTAACGGTCGTTCTCGCTCCGCTCCGCCCACTCCTCCTCCTCACTTTTAAGTCCTCAGAAGCACCGTCGAGCCGCCTCGCGCGCCCGCGCTCTTCCCCCGCCTCACAACCGTTAACCGCTCGTGGAGGAGGAAGGAAAGGAGAACCGGGGAGGGTGGGGGGGGAGAGGGAGAAAGAGGAGGAGAAAGGAAAGAAAATGGCGGCTGATCTAAATCTCATCCCCGCATAAGCACCGCTCCTTCTGCAAACTACCATGTCTCTTCCCCACTTCCTCCTTCCCCGTCTCCCGTCCGAGCCATTAGGTTCTCTCGCCGCAGCCACGTACCTTTCTCTTGGGCATGTCGGCAGCGCGTGACAGAGGGGGAGAGAAAGAGAAAAAGGAGGCTGGGTTGGAAATATAAAAGCGCGGTCTCTGTAGGAGGGAAGGGAGAAACTCAACCGCCTGTAAAATAAAAAAAGGAGGGGGGTGCAGAGAAGCCGCGCAGTAAGGGAGAGCAGAAGAGGAAAAGCGAGAAAGGGGGGCTCCGTTTGTTGGGTTCGCTCGTGTCGCTCACGACCCCACTAATTTGAATCGGGTGTTTATAAAGTTTTATATAGAGCCGGACGCGGCCCAACCGGTTCCAGCCGGATCCCCACCGCCCCGGCTGCCTATTGGACAGAGCGCGTCACGTGGCAAGGGCCAGCCAGGGCGGGCGCTGCGAGGGGAGGCGAGGAGCGAAGGGGGCGCGCGCGCAACTAGTAAATCCTCCCTGCAAGAGCTGTTGCTCGGTCTTTCGACCACGGCGCGAATTTGTTTTAATGACAACAATAAATGGCAATACTAAGACCGACCCTCGGCGCCGTATAGAATTTTATTTTTTTTAAATAATAACCCGGACCTCTTTTTCGTTACGTATGTACGCAAGAAAGAAAAATGCATTTCGTAGATTCTCATACCACTCTTGCTGCCTCCCCCCTCCATTAAAAATAATTAAAAAACAATAATTTCTCTTGGGTTTTAAAAAAACGCACTGCAAAATTAAATAAATAAATAAATAAATAAATCCTCTTGGCTGAGAAGGAGCTCTCTGCGTAATCTTCACAACTCCTCTGGCGCGGTGACTGGACTTGCGCCCAAGTAAGCGTATATAAAGCTTGCGGTCGAAAGTTACCGCTGAGAAGCCAGTGCAGTGTCTCTCTCTCGCTGCAGGAGGGCGAAAGACCGACCTGCGTGGCGCACCTGCACAAGCCATGGCGCGCCTCTCCTGCGAAGGCGCAGGCAGGAAGAAAATGTTTCCGAGAAAGGGCCTTTCCCCTGTTCTTCCTGGCCCTCCAAGCCAACAACAACAACAACAACAAGAAATCTGGGTGGAAGCTTGGGTAGAAGAAGATGGTGGCCTCTTCTAGCGCTCGAAGGGAAAGGAAGGTGCGGTCATTGCCTAGCTGAGGAGGGCAGAACGCAACCCACAGCGCCCTCTTCCTTTTCAACCTTGACTACGAACTGGCAGGGTCTCCCTCAAGAGCGAGCAGCAAAGGGCCTCAGGTGCAGCAACCACCTCGCCTTCCCCCTCTCCAAAGGGAGAAAGAGGGGGAACGGAAGCATTCTTGTGGCGCGGGGACACTTTTACCGAAGACGTTTCCTTGGCAGGGGCCAGGTGAGGAGCTGTCCTTTTCAGCACCATTCTGTCCTGCTGCTGGTAGAATACCCACCCCAAACCCCAGCAGTTAGAAAGAGGCAGGGACAGATATGGAATACCTGCAGAAAAAGGCATGTTGCCCACATTGGATCTGTCATCGTATGTAGTGTTTCCCTTAACATAACTTGCCTTGCAATGGACACACCATGCAACATCATTACAGCTTGCACTATTAAGTGGTAAAGGTTACATTCAGGGTGAAGTTAAATGAGAGAGTTGCAGTGATGTCTTCACTCGTATGAATAATTTCATGTGGCTTATATAGCATTAGAACACATTTGTCAATTGCACATGCACAGCTAATAATGGAGGATCTTATCGTCTTTGTTCAGAGGCAGCGTGCCACCAACTAGACAATTGCTGAAGGGGCTACTTTTGGAAGCAGAATGCTGAACTAGACACAACTATGTTCACAGGATGTAGTTATGGCTACCAACTTGGGTGACTTAAAAAGAGGATTAGACAAATGTATGGGGGTTGAGGCTATCAGTGGTTACTAGCCGTGATGGCTATGCCCTGCCTCCACGGCAGAACACCAAATGGATTTCCAGCAGACATCTGGTCGTGCACTGTGAGAACAGGATGATGGATTACATGGACCATTGGCCTGATTCAGCAGGGATTGTCTTCTTATGACATCCTTCTTCACCGCATTTCACTTGGGAGGTGCTCCTGCCAAGGCACCCAGAGGAGCCTGCATACTTCACCTGACTGCTGTCCAGAGCAGCAGAGCAACAGTCTGGGGAGCATGTAGATGGGCAGGTGGGCTCCTAGCCACTCCAAGCCAGAGTGGAAAGGCGTGATTTTTGTGTCCTGCTGTGCCTGCACCCTCAGCAGGGCCAACTTCACAAACTCCTAGATACACTCCTGAGTTCAGGGATGGGGAACCTTTTTCAGTCTTAGGGCAAAATTCCTTTGTTGGCAACCATCCAAGACTGCATGGGTGACCAGACACAAGGGTGGGTGGAGCAAAGAGAGAGATTTACTTTTGTACATTAAGCTTCCTCCAGCGATGCAAAGGTTTATAAAATGTATGTGCTTCCCTCCAACCAGGCAAGCAAGAGGCATTATCACAATTCAAGGTCACATTCTAACCAGGAAAAAGTACTCTAGCATGGGCATGAGACTGAAGGAGCCCAGAAGGCCAGACAAAACAGTCATGGAGGACCACTTTTGGTACCCAGGCTCAAGGTTCCCCATCCTTGCTTTAGAATTTTAAACAGGCTGGAAGCAATATTGGTAACTACACGAAGCACTTTTAAGATTTAACATTTCATATGCCAGTTGCCAAATCTAACAATCTTCAACTTTTTTTAATTCCATCAGGATTCTAGTTATATTTCATTATGAACACAGTTACTACAGTAGAGCTAAACAACTTCGCACTCTTAAAAATAACTCAAGTTGGCCTCTTACTCTCATTCTCCAGGAATAGAAATACCCCTTAACAGTAGGTGCAATGAACCACATAACGGCAACACAGCCGCCATTCATTCCAATTGTTCTCAGTGTGATCTACAAGCCATTTAAACAGGCAAGCATGTACTATAAGCCTGTTTAGTCAGATTAAAGTCATTGACATTAAGCACACAGAAGCAAGTTCCACTGAAAACCTACTGGACACCCTGAAAATCTGCTAGAGGGTGATTGAATGCCTTTTTCATTCATAATTTGAGCCACCCAAGGCAGCTTTAAAAAGGCAAAGAATTAAAATCACAAAGCACAAATGTATGCGGGGGGTGAGGCTGGGGTGCAGAACAAGCAAGCAGCAGAGAGTTAGTACAAAACTGGAATCCAGCAAAATGACCCACCATCCAGTCCAAAAGCCTGCCTGCCAGAACTGAGTACGCTCCACCAAGGAGTTCCCAAACACCCAAACATTTTGGTCACTGGAAAGGATCATATGACAGCAGACTGTATTTTAGGTATACTGGTCCCACACAGTTGAGAACTATGAAGGCAAGTGTCCAGCACTTTCAATTGCTCCTGAAATTAGACCAGGAGCTAGTGCAAATGATGTAAATCAAGAGCAAAAAGCTCCAAAAACACTATGCAGTAGTCTGGCTGCTGCATCTTGTACATCAGGTCTCAGAAGATTCAGAGACACAACATCCCACCACCAGCACATTTCACAGTAATCTAGTTTTGATGTGTGACCAATGCAACCGGCAGCTAGCGTGCTTGCCAGCATAGGATGCCACAGTGGCTACACTGATGCAAACTGTTCTGTATACACCCAGTGAGCCAGGTCATTATCTCCCCCACCCCACTGACCAACTTTTGGCAGGTAAGTGGGAATCACCCATCCATCTGTTATCATGATGGAAGTGATATGTTGGTAGGCAGTCCCACTCCCTTATCAAAAATTGACCCATGAGATGGGGTGGGGTGGTGAAGCACCAAGTAGGATTGAACTCTCTGCTCACCTACTCAGGGTTCAGTCAGGCTTCCTGCAGGAGTCTGCTATGGAAGCATGTTCCCCATAGGGAATGCACTGGTGAAGTAACACCCAGCAGGATTTTAAAAAGCCCATCAGCTGATGGACACGTGGTTGTGATTTTGGGGGGAAATGGCACCACAAACCAAATTGGATTCCCTGAAGCACCAAAACTGACCCATGCACTGGAGGCTGCCCACCCCTGAGGGGGTTTGGACTGGTGTGCCAACATCTACTTCTAAACCATGTAGACAAAGAAACACCTTTATTAAGGATGTTGGACCTCTTGTTTCCCACAGAACCAACCATTCACGTTTTTCAACTTATTGATTGTAAGTTTTTAATGCAGAAGAAACATTTACTAACAAATATTCTTTCCCACCTCTGAAAAGATAACACATGGCTGGGAGGTTATGTGCATGCCCTGTTCAAGAAACAGGAGAGACATTCCCTTTAGAATTTGAGGTCTTTCTTAAAACAGCTGTTTCAGACATCATAAAAGCTATAAAGATTCAGCTTCTAACAGTAGGTAAAGCCACTGTATGAGAACAAAGTTCCCATAATTTATTGGTCACCATGTATTTCTGTATATATCCTTAACTACTTGCATCGAAAAAGGACACAATTCTTAAATGGTTTGATGATTTACTGTATCAGTTCTCTGACAATTGGCTCATCCTCACCATTTTTTAAAAAGATAATTAAACTGCACATTTCTTCTTTGGATTCACATAGCTTTAGAATTGAAACTTTTAATAATATTCAGCTTATTTTTAAAATCTGTTGTCTCCCCCCAAAAAGTGCTTTATTCATGGCTTGATGCCTTAATCAGCCTCTTCACAGCTGTATCCAGCATGCTGAATCTGCAAGTTTTTTATTTTTTAAAAATGACATTTTCTGGTGCCATCTGAAAGTAAAACACTTAAAAAAACCACACACAGAGACACAGCAGAGTATGCTGTATTAGATACACCTCCAGCAAACTGGAGTGCCCAAAGCTCTGTAGCACATACAGAGCCAAGCAGAAAGAACATTCTCCCAATCTAGTTTTTATTAATTTATGTACCACAATGCCAAAATAATTCTGGGGCAGGCAATGTATGTTTCCTTGTAGAGCCTCACAAGTACGCAGGTTCACCAAATTAGGGCAATTCTATTGTTTCTGGCCACACACAGAAAATTGAGATAAGAATTTTTATTTTTATTTAATGGGATAGCCAGTCTTCTAATTAGGCATCAAAAAGCCCATCTAGAACTAGACACCCATTTGTCTGTGTGCATGCAAACAGGGTCCTTGTCCACTTTCCCCAACTGCACCCCTCCCTGCACGGCAAGCAACTTTTCAGAATTCGAAGAAGTTTAAGGAAATTTGTTTAGCTGAGGCACCGAAACACTGCAGTTTGGGAAGAGGGAGTGAAACATGGACAGACCTTCCCAAGAACATCTACTCAAGCTTGTCCTCTTTGTTTGGTTACCTTTATAAACCCACATGGAATTTAGGAAGCATAAACTTATTTCAGACACCGTCATCCCCAACCAAAGCTTGAATAACCAGTAACACAGAGGTGGTAAAGTCTTGTATATGTCTACTGAGAACACAAAGGGAAACAAAACTTTACATTCCCATTAACAAGTGAAGACCACTGGCAGCAGCTGGACTGTTTGTAACTTGATTCATGTCCTTCCTCTCCTGCACTTGACTCCTGGCCCTACAAGTTCCTTTTGGTCATGCTGATGCCATACTCAGTTTTTCCAGGAAGTCCATGTGCTTATTCTCCAGGGCTTGCAAAAAACTCTGGATTCTCTCTTCCCGTTTAGCTCTGCATTCCTGGAGGAGAGTCCGCCGTCTCTGCGCATCTGTACAGGATGCAGAACCTTCCTCTTTCAGCTTCTCCAGCACACAGATCTTGTCATTTTCCATCTGCTGCCACTTCCTTTCTTCCATGTACAAATCCCTGGCTTTCTGAAAAGAAATGGCATATGAGTTGATGAAAATGAAGCAAGCCTAATAGTCAATAGGGGGAGAGTCAATGTGGTGCCGTCCAGATGTTTGCGGGACTACAACTCCCATCAGCCCCAGCCAGCATGGCCACTTAGTCAAGGTTGATGAGAGTGGTGTGCCTTAACATCTTCAAAGCACCTCACTGGCTTCCCTGGAATAGAGAAGCAAAAATTGCTGGAGAAATTTGCTTCCGTTTGGTTCCCAAATGCCTCTCCATCCACCATGCAACAGCTCCCAACAAACAAACAAAGAACACTCAATCCCTGATGCTTCTCAGAGTTAGAGTTTGCTCCCTCTTCCTAAAATTATTTTTCTTCCATACACACTCTCACCAAGCAATTGCATTCCGTTCTACGGCAATGCATTTGTCTTGCTACATGCAAAAATTCAGTGTATTTGGTCACTATCAAATATTTCTGCACTTCTGATTTTTGACTAGTATTTAACTAGTCTAGTATTTTTGACTAGTATTTAACTGAAACAGAAGAAGACATCTGACCCACTTTAAAATCTACCCACAATGGAAAAGCTATCAGAAACATTTCAATAGGTCTGTTCTGCATATGATGAACACTGAACATCACCCAATGTCTAAATCTGTTTCTAGATCACCTAATACCATTTTCACTAGGGGCACATTTGGGCTTAGTTACCTTTTATGATGATGTCATATATTTAACCATTTTGGTATTAGGAAACTTATTTTTACCAGCTTTGAACTAATTCTACGGTCTACCCATAAAACAAACTAGGAGGACCTCACCAAATCCTACTCAAAATTTGATCTCCAGAAATTGGGATCTATTATTATATTATTATTATACAGTATTTTAATATTTTTTTGGAAGCTGCCCAGAGTGGCTGGGGAAGCCCAGCCAGATGGGCGGGGCATAAATAAATAAATAAATAAATAAATTATTATTTTTATTATTATTTTTATTATTATTATTATTATTAAATCTTGTGTTCAGCCCATGAATATATAAATGACATGAGAGGCAAATAATTTTTGCTCAAGTGTTACAGTTGAGATGGGGAATGCTTGCTTTTAAAGCAATAAGTCTTTAAAAAAACAAACAAACAAAAAAACCTGGCACAATTCCCAGTCTTTTAAGTCTTGAGAAAGTCAGTTAATATTCATAATATGTCGATGGGGAGTTCTGGGTTTGCCAGATTTGCCTCAGATTTGTGCCCTCCGGGTGTTACCTGCAAAGCATTGTAGTTCATCTGGAACTGAAGGACAGCTTCCCACAAGTTCCAGAAGGAGTAATCTGGCCACAACACAGACTGGAAAACCAAGCATGTATGAGATGTCTGCAGAAAGAAAAACAAGGAGTTTAACAGGCAGCCTGCAGAGGGAAGACCACCACAGAATCAAGCAACGTTGGCCAGTGAAATTATTCTAGCACAAACCCACAAAAGGCCTTTCATCCATATGCTACATACATTCCTATTCATTGATTGCATGGGTTATGTGCAGCTACTTTGGACCATGCTGGAATCCTGTAACCTCAAAATTCCACTATAAGAATGTGAAAACAGGGCAGAGAGGTGTTTAGCTTTGCACTATGACCTTTGCAGTAATGAAAAGTGACTTCCCCATTGCCCCACTGCTGCTAATAGAAAGGACTGAGGCTGCGAGGACTCACTCTAGAGTGTGCACATCCAATACCAATTGCCATTCCACCTCAGTAGCCTTTTGGCAGTGAAGGGAGCATGATCAGTCCAACACTACAGCTCTAAAAAGTTTTCTGGTTTTTTTTGGGTGGGGATTGGGGGTAGGAGAAGGAAGGGAATTGAGCTCTAAGGATGTATGCCTGAGGTGACAACCTGTGGTCTACTCTAACACTCTCTGTCTCTCTCCCTCTCTGTCACACACACACACACACACACACACACACACACACACTCCAGTGGCTCCCTGCTGTGATACCAAAAGCTATTTGTGGCTCCCCCCAAATTTCTCCATAAAAAAAGAAATTAAAAAATCCTCTCCTCTCCCCATCCCAACAGCTCATGTAGGTCCCTCACTGTACTATTGTGATGCCAAATGGCTTGTACCCCTCCAAGCCACCCCACTCCAAGTCATTTTAAAACAATGACTTTAACACTTACTTATAACAATGGTTTTGAATAGTCTCAAGTTTATCAAGAAATATCTAAAATAATTAAATCACCCATACAGGCTTCCCCAGAATTGTCTTTACTGAACATGATGACTGTTAATGTGAAGGCTTGTTTCTCTAAACAACCTTTGGCATGGATGCTAACTGCAGCCAGGATGGTTTAAGAACATATGGACTTCAGCTATTGCAGGGGGTGGGGGGTGGGGATAACACTGTTTATCCAGAGGGATGAATGATCCAGATTGCTGGTGGGATTTTATTTCTGGTGGGATTTTATTTCTCATGCTTTGGACTTCGATGACCAACATTCACCATCCATGCCAGCTCAGGAAATATGGATGCCTCAATTTAGACTGGTGTATTGCCATTTCTTCCTCTTATCCTTTTTTTGTTTGCTTGCTTGCTTGTTTTCTGTATAGTATGATGTGATACCCTGCTACTGAACTTTTGTTTGCTAGTAACACTTTTTATGTTACAATAAAAATAACAAAACAACATTATGGGGAAAATGTGTTGGAAGGCAGCCTTGAGAACTACAGTTCTTGTTGTGCACATTTTCCCACTTTGGCCATACCTCCTGGACAACCATGGGGTCCACGTGGCCCTCTGCCTGGAAAAGGTTAGCCAACTCTAATGCAGGCCAAAGAGCACAGATTCTTGCAGGCCTGCTTCTTGCAGTCCTTTTTGTAGCAAAGCACACCCCTCCTTTTCTGCTGGGAAAAGGATCATGTTGCAGGAAACCAGCAGGTAGAATGACCCTGGCATTTGCAAAGCAGGGTGAGAGCTGCACTTGCTTCACATTCAACCTACACAATTCACTAGCCTCCTAAACATCAAAATGATAGGTGCCTGTTTAATCTCAGCTGATAACCGATTCCAGAAGGCTGTAGCTGCAAGACTCAAAGCCCAGGTTCTAGGTACAGGCTAAGTGCACCTCTGGGACATGTGGTACTCCCAGAATTCTCCAGCTGAGGGGGGCAGTTGCCAGCTAGGGATATATGGGGTGAAGAGGTCCCTTAGCAAATGGGACATGGAAATCAAAGGGGGAATCCTGAAAGGAAATTTCCCCATTTATAGTTCATGCTTTAGCATAAAACGAAAAGCTGTAATTCAGGGGCAGCTAACCTGTGGCCTTCCAGACACTGCTGGGGTATAGTGCCATTGTCCTTGACCACTCAAGGTGGGGCTGTTGGGAGCTGATCTTCAGTGGCATCTGGAGGGCCACAGGCTGGCCACTCCTGCTGTAATGTTAGCAGTATGGGAAGTAGAGCTCTGTTGGATCAGACCAAAAGCCCATCTAGTTTAGCATCTTGTTCTCAGAGTGGCCAACCAGGAAGTCCACAAACCTCCCAGCAACAGATATTCAGAGGCATATCCATGGCTTAGGACTGGCACCTGCATGCAGCTTAATCCAGAAGCTGCAGCTAGTGCAGAATGCAGCAGCTAGGTTGGTTGTTGAGGTATTCTATTGACACCATTTGTTGAGGTATTCTATTGACACCATAAAACACCTCTGCTGAGGGAGCTGCACTAGCTAGTGGTACAGTTCAAGGTTTTGCTTTTAGCATTCTAAGGCCTAAAAAACTTGATCTGGAAGGGTGACCCTTGCCCAATATAGCCCTACCAAGCTACTGCTCTGCTCAGATGCAATAGTGTTGAGAGTACCATATGCCTTAACTTGCACTAGAAACCAGACTTTTGGTTCTGCAGTTCCATTTCTCTGGAATCAGTTCCCAGCCGAAATCAGTCACCAGCAACAAGCTGCCTAGGTGCCTACTAAGTACATTTTTGTTTCAGAAGACTTTCTTTGAGGCATGACCCAGTCATTTATGCAACATCAGTTTTATATCTGAACAAGATTTTTGGAGCCCGTAGGAGTGGCTTTATTGTTTTTAAAGCTTGACATTGACTCTCAACATTTAGCCCTGATCTGACAGCTCCTTTGTTCACGCTGGAATTCCAGTACGTGATGCAGGACTGAATATCTTCAAATGTATTTTTATTCTAATGGTTTAATGAAGAGAGATTTAGATTCCACCCCCAAAGCTGAAATGAAAAAATCTTTCCTGAAACGGTACAACAAAATCCCCAGAGCCAAATTATTTCTAAACAAGACCAAGCAGAGCAGGAGAGGTGGATCTCACTCTTCCAACCTCATGGGTAATTTCAGTTCACTGTTACCTGCCAGAGCATGAAATCGCTAAGTCTGACTTCTCCGGAAGTCCTTATTAGGATGTCTGGATGAGGAGATTTACAGGTATACAGGCACTTGTCGATCAGCGACTCCGATACATCACTAAAAGACACAAAACTTAAATTAGGGAGCCAATGTTTATCTACAAAATGGAATGCACATTAGGTGGACCATGAAGACCATCTGGATCAGGCAAAGAAGAAGAGGCCCACGTATTCCAGCATCCTCCTTCACACACTGCAGCCATGCAGATGCCTATGGCAAAACCCGTAAGTGGTACATGTGGGTATCAACCCTCACCTGCTGTCGCTCCTCCAACTGGTATCCAGAGGTTTACTGTCTCTGAATTCAGGGGTAGCCTACACTCATCATCATGGCTAGGAGGCAGTGGTGAGGCTCCTAGCCATGAAGACTAGAAAGACGGCACCATGTGCTTATTTCTGCACCTCTGGATCTTAACTTTAAATTATTCCAACCGAGTGCCAATCTCCTTAAAGAAGAAAAGGAGGGCACAGAGAGCAGCATGGCCTACCCACTTAGGAAACTGCCTTCCCCAAGAAGCAAATTCCAAGCATTTTTCTGAAAGCACTGAGGACTTTGTTTGAACTTGCTTTGGGTGGTAAGGAGTAAACTGGCACCAGATACATTTGATAAACATGTTTCATATACAATCAGACTCATTTTATTATTGTTTCTAAAGTGTGGAGCAGATTCTAAAGGGCACAAGGGAGATGTGCCCTTTATTTGGAGTTTCTAAACTCCAAATAAAAAAACAAACAACTCTTGAATCTATACTAGCACTATGCCTAATTGCCCATTCTTTGTTTATGGCACTTATTTTTCTTTCTCATTTCAATACTACTTTTCCGCCAGAGAAGAATGCACCAAGTAGGTGAAGAAGAAATGCAACACAGTTACAACCACAAACACAAAAAGGCAATACAAAGTGTACCAGCATTTAAGACCATGACATCTGTAAGATCATAAACCTAAAATAAATCCACTTGTGTTTTGTCCTCACGCCCTCCAGAGACTTGAAAGAACAGGGAAGTTCTAAAGAACCAGCTCAGTGCATGGAAAAACCTTGTGAATAAGAGTAACTAGCATGCAGAATGTGTCACCAGCCTCCTGGGGGCTGGCAGAGAGAGATAGAGAATTCTGCTCATCCTCTTTCAGCCTGATTTGGTTTCTTGGGTTTCTGTGCCAGGTGTGGAGCTGCTCCTCCTCCTTCCCCAGTCCACATCTGCCTAAATGGAACTCCATGTGCTTGCACTTGTATGGCTCAGGAAAGGGTGCAGCCTGGGACATGTCACCAGCACTGCTTAGCAACCTCCTACTGAGAACCCAGCGGTCTGTTTCATGCTGTTTGTTGTAGCATTTGCTTGCTGTGTGTTTCTTTTGTTTTTCAAATAGTTTTGCTTGGTTTCAAAAAAGCTGTATGGGCAGGTATTTGAGACAGAAAGGTGGCACACTGAGTTTTAGTACACGTGACTTCTCTCAAGAGGTTTGGTCGCACTGGCGCGGGCCTCAGGCCCCGGCAACTATGATTTAGAATGGAGTGTGAGAGGTGGAGGGTTGCTGAAATTTGGCATCACCCAGGGCACTGCTGAAATTTGAGACCCCAAGATCCACCACTGCTTCTCTAAGACATTTAAGGGGTTTCAGAATGGCATTGGACTTCTGTGGGAAGGCCCAGACAGTTGCAGTGGAGAATGTAGACGAGGAGGTGGTGTAGGACTCTGGGAGTAAGTCAGTGTGATGCTGGTGGACTACAATCCCATTATCTCTGACCGCTGGCCATGCTGGCAGGGACTGATGGGAGTTGAAGTCCAGAAACACCTGGAGGGCACCATGTAGGCTAGCCTTGCAAAAGTATTATTATGGCTGTGTACAAACAGACTGGAAAACTGTAACCGGCATGAGCTTTCCTCCTGCAGCCTGAGCTTTGCTTTCCCCAACCTTTCCCTAAGCAGCACAGGTAGAGCCTGCGACTCAAGTCCTGACTGCCAGCTTGCCCTTCCGCTGAGGCTTCGGATGTCATGACTGATTTGTTTGCATTTCCAAGAGCCTTGCATATTTATGCCCTCCAATGTTTGCTTAGTGCTTTAAGGTTGCTGGTGTTTTTTGGTTTATTTTATTTTTTGTTTTTTTTTAAAAAAAGGTTTTCATGCTTTGAAAACTGCTCTTCATGATTGACACAATGGCCAGCCAATCAGTGTACAGGAATGTGCTCCAAGGAGTGGCGGCGTCAGCAGTATGGGGGTGGGGGTTGGGAAAATCTGGTTTCATGTGGGCACAAGGGCCCGATAGTCAGCACTATGATGATCCAGCTCCTTCTGCCAAGCCTAAGGAACAGAGTTCAACCTGGGTCTGAAGATGGTATGCCACAGAGTGGATGCTTCCACAGCAGCCCCATTGCAGAAATCAAACATGCAAGGTTACCTGGGTTGAAGCAGTCCTTCTTCGACTCCCCAAGCCAGCTCTTTCACCGCATTGCTAATCTCTTGTCTTGATGTGTATGCAATACCAATGTTCAAAAAACACCTTTTAAAAATAAAGAGAGAAGAAAAATGATGCACGGTGTTAAGAAAGTTTTCCTCCCTCATCATACCTGAACTTAAACATCCAATTAAACTGATAGTCTATTCTGAATCTCCTCCTAAAAGGAAGCTGAAAGGAAGTTTTTAATGTTTGATGCTTTATTGTATTTTATATATTCTGTAAGCCGCTCAGAGTAGCTGAGGAAACTCAGCCAGATGGGTGGGGTATAAATAATAAAATTATTATTACTATTACTATTACTACTACTACTACTACACAATTAAAGGAAGCACAAAGGGTTCATAATCCACACAAAGCCAAGGTATGGATGGGCCCAGGGTTTCTGATACAATTGCAGAGAGGTTATGTACAGGAAGTGGCCTGACTTAATACCTCCCTGCCCCATTTTGACATTAAATACAGACATGCACAATGAGAGTAATGAATGATCACTTGGTTTTTGTTCAAACATCTGACAAACATGCCCCTACTGATGTTCTGTTTGCTTTTATGGTCTTGTGATGACTCCAATAAAAACCATGTTTTAAAATGGCAAGACTTTGCAACAGGACTCACGTGTTGTAGTGCCTCGTTGCCAGCACAACTTTGGCAATTAGTTCCTGGATATCTTTCGGCAGGAGGGGCAGGTCCCCGAGGATACGAACACACACACCGTGTCTCTCCAAGTTCTCCCTAAAAGGGAGAAGAGGAAGAGGATGGAGGAATTTGACTCACACAACAGACAAGACAAACCCCAGCAATGCCAGCACATACAGTATAGAGTCATTATTAACCGACACTCAGTTATTCAGAGATTCTGCTTACATCTTGCAACAGGACACATGGAGGAGTGGGGGAGAGAAGAATACAAGTCACAAGGGTTTTCCACGCAAGCAAGAGTTGGATCTGGGGCCACGTGAACAATGACAAGACAGCAACACATTTGAAACTGTCCTGCCAAAAGCTCCAAAGATGTTTACTATATCATCCAGCAGCCATGATTTCAGCTTACAGTGGTACCTTGGTTCTCAAACGCCTCGGTACGCAAACAAATTGGAACCCAAACACTACAAACCTGGAAGTAAGTGTTTCAGTTTGCAAACTTTATTCGGAAGCCGAACATGCTCCGTTTTGAGTGTTACGCCTCCGTTTTGAGTGTTATGCTGACGATTTGAGTGCCACACTTCTTTTTTGAGTGTTACACTGAGGTCTGTCTGTTCTTGCTATTTATTTTGCGTTTTTGTGGCTCTTTTTTGTTTTGTTTTTGTGACTGTGTGGAACCCAGTTCAGCCACTGATTGATTGACTGATTGATTGTGTGACTGCAGTACATTGTTTATTGCTTTCATTTTATGGATCAATGGTCTCGTTAGATAGTAAAATTCATGTTAAATTGCTGTTTCAGGGGTTGTTTTTAAAAGCCAGGAACGGATTAATCCATTCTGCATTACTTTCTACAGGAAAGCGCGCCTTGGTTTTGGAACGCTTTGGTTTTGGAATGGACTTCCAGAATGGATTAAGTTTAAGAACCAAGGTTCCACTGTACTTTAATGAGCTGTGAATGAACATCAATGAAGTGTATTGTGTGGGTGTTGGTTTTTCAAACCCATTGCATGGGGAAACATTAATTCATTTAGTCTACTGACTTTTACAAGAGGGGACCAGAGTATCTACACAGTTGCACTTTGCTTCAGCCTAGGGTGGAAGGCAAAGGTGCTCAATCCTGCCATTGCCAGGCTCCACTGGCTAAGAGCCCCAATAAAAATTATTGCCTTCAGGGTCCCAACTGAATGCCCACTCTTCTTAGACGTAACCTGAGAAAAAAATCATATAATCAGGTTTACGCTACAGTAGGAAGAATGCTGTTCATACCCACCCTAGACAAGAATTATATTTACTTTCATCTTGGTCTAAATTGGAGCAGCTCCCCCAAGATTCTAGACAATTTAATATACAAATTAAGCACCTTAATTGTTTCACTTCAGAGGAAGGACACACACTGAAGCTCCAAGAGTGCTGTTTGGGTCTCTGTTTACTTCCTTTACTGGCTGTCCCTCTTATCAGTGTTATGGTATCATTTGAAATGAGTTTTGGTTGTGAGCAGATCTTAGCTCTAGGAGAGCAGTGGAGGGAAAGATATAACTGCTCCAATTAATAAAGTTTGCTTTATACCAACAGATAATTTGAAAATATAAAAATTCCCAATTATTATTATTAATAATAATAATAATAATAATAATAATAATTTATTATTCCCAATAAATAATAATAATAATAATTTATTATTTATACCCCGCTCATCTGGCTGGGTTTCCCCAGACACTTTTCCCAATGTAAATTATATACCAGCTAGCAGGTTACAGCCAGTTGGGTTAATAATTCCAGTCCAAACAACCTTTCTTCCCATAGTTAACCAGTCAGCTATTGGCAAACCCTGAAGTTTCACTTCAAGTACAGGACAGGACAGTATGAAACATACTTTATAATTAATGTAATAGCTATCATATGACACTTTTCTTTTCTTTTCTTACATTCCACATACAATTATTCTGTAATGCACAATCTTGTGGAGTAGGTTACAGCGATTATCCCTATATAAACAGCAGTGGGAATGGGGTTTGGAGCTTGCCCCCAAACCACCCACTGAATTCATGACAGCTGACTAATCTGGGGATATCCTTGTTCACAGCTCATTCTCTTAACCATCATGCTACCCTCATCTCAATGATAAATAACATTGGTTTAATTATTTACTTGTGTTTTATTTTGTATTTTATTATGTGATGAAGGACAGTATATAAATTTTATTATTAAATGATGATGATAATGATAATAACAATAATAGGTAGGAAAGCCTGTGCCCCTCCAGATTTAGTTAAACCCCAACTTTCTTTTCTCATGGCATACATGAGATTCTCAGGTGGTTATCCATCCAGGCACTGATCAGAGCCTTGCTCACAATCAGCAAGATGGTGGTCCTCATGTATTTTCAGACCATACCCAGAGGCCCTGTGGGCACCAATGGTTGGGACTGAGGGAACTGAGAGTCCAGCATCATCTCTAGAGAGACCTTCTATCAAGTATAGTCATACCTCGGGTTAAATATGCTTCGAGTTGAGCGTGTTCGAGTTGTGCTCCTCGGCAACCCGGAAGTAACGGAGTGCGTTACTTCCGGGTTTCGCCGCATGTGCAGACGCTCGAAATGACATCATGCGCATGCACAGAAGCAGCGAAAAGCGACGCATGCGTGCGCAGACGTGCCGTTGCTAGTTACATTTACCTCTAGATGCGAATGGGGCTCCAGAACAGATCCCGTTCGTATCTAGAGGTACCACTGTATTTCTTCAGGTCAACTGTGTGTTTGAGAAAGCAGGCATTGTTGCAGCCTGTGGAAACTCGATTCCTAATGGCCATTTTCATCCCGATAATAGCACAAGGATGTGGAATAATCCTCCAAACTCTCCATAGTCCAGCACAGAACTGAAAAGAACCCAGTAAGTACCCACTATTCTAGTTTCTTTCTGCTGCTCTGTCAATATACACTAATGGTCTATTTGACCCTGTAAAATTCAAAACACAACTACATTTCTCTTTTTATCCTGGTACCACTAACAGCTGTAATACAGTCAAGCAGCAGCTATTCACAGGAAGACCTCTAAAAACTCAGGCTAGTTTTATTTTATTTTGTAGTGCAAAAATATGCAGAAACATGAATAATATACCTATAAATATTATACCTCCAGGTTTCTTAGCTTAATTTGTTGCAGGAAGTTAACAATGGGACAACGAAAATAGATTTTCTGTGATTTAATGGTAGCCAAGAGACTGATATGGATACATGATCTCCTTTTGATAATATGATAACACTTGCAACTGATGAACAGACATGTTTACAGACGTAGACTCTGCTTGGATAAATGATAATATTTGGAATGCATTTATATAAAATGTGGTAGGCTATTAATATTTACATTAGTGTTAGAACAGTATCAAATTTATAAAAGAATGTATGGGTTAGGGTATTGTTGTATATATTCATATATCCCCCCTCCCTTACAGAGTTTTGTGCCTTTTTTTGTTTGTATCACTTTATTGCTTTATAATTTAAAACAGTTCAATAAAATATCATTTTTTAAAAAAGATTTGCTGGTAAACATCCCCTTGGTTTGTTGCAAGAGAATGGTATGTAAATAATTTAATAATTATGAATTAATAAATGTTAGAAATGATCACAAAATTGTAATAATTTTATGCAGGTCTCTTTCTTGCTCTCATATTATCACCACAGGGGTTAATTAGCCTACTAATGTTTATGTGATCAGCACTGCTTTGTAACTGGCCCATGCATGTACATTTAAGCTTTTAATTGTCACAGTCTCTATTTTTTCCATTTCAATTCCCTCCAACATCACTGTTGACCAGATTTTCTTTACCTCCATCCACCATCACCCCACACATGTGCCTCCTATGGCACTTCACAAAGTAGACACTAATCTGCTAAAGCTTATGCCCTTGAAATTATATACTGAAAATAAAATAAATGGATGAAACTTTGGGAAGGTATTGTTCCAAAAATAAGTTAAAGCACAGCAATATTCCATATCCTCAGTTACTAATCTGTCAGTTCACAGAAACCTCAGCCATTTCCCTGTAGAATTATACAAAAATTTTAGTCACTAAGGAGACTGACAACTAGTGTGACATTTGTTTCCATATGTACCTACCAAGACTCTAAAGATCTTCACCTGAGGTCTTTCTCCAAATTACTAGGTGAAATGTGGCAGGCAGGTAATGAAGATGGGGCCTTTTCAGTGGTGGCACCTCAATTATGGAATAATTTCCCAATATGTTTACCTGGCAACCACCTTGATGTCTTTTTTTGGCAGCAGCAAAGACCTCTATTTCCCCAGGCCTGTTAATTTGTTTAAACTGCTAAACTGTCTTTCTCTCTCCACCAAATGATTTTATGCTGCTTATATAGGTTATTATTGCTTTTATTCAGCGGTATTTTTTTTTATTTTAATAAAAGGAATATTTTGCTTAGGTAAACTGGCTTGGGAACATTTGTGGGAATGGCAAATACATATGTAAAACAAATAACCAAACCCTGCTTCCAACAGTTTGCCTTTGAGACAATACAAAAAAGCTACTTTAGAATCAAGTATATTTACTGCAATTTCCCCCACCAGGGCAAAAATCATGTTCTAATGCAGGATTAATTCATGGGTCCTTTCCAACTGACTTTTACTCAGAATGGACCCACTGAAATGAACGGCTTTGACTCACTTAGGTCCATTAATTTAAATCGGTTTGTTCTGAGTAAAAGTCAGTTGAATACAATTCAATGTTTCCTGCCGGTGACAGAAGTGATGACTCAAGTCAGGCCTAACTTTTAAATGCATGCAGAAATACATCATGTTCCTTAACAGCAAATGAGGGCAACCTGTGACCCTCCAGATCTTGCTAGACTACAACTCCCATCATCCCTGACCATTAGCCATGCTAGCTGGGGCTGATGGAAGTTGGAGTCCAATGACAACTGGAAGGTCTCAGGTTCCCGGCCCTGGACTTGCAGGTTGCGGCGGAAGGTTAGAAAGAAGGAGCTTACTGTTCTTCTAGAAGACGGGTAAATTTTTGCCTTGCCATCTCCATCAGGCCTTCCACTTCTTCCTGGGATCGCTTGAAGTTCTCAATACTAAAGGCATAGACTGTGACTTCCCGGATACCCAGACTCAAGCACCACTGCAGTGTCTGTAGAAAAGGAGATATTTATTCAAAGTGACAACAAACTAATCACTAAAACTAAATTTTTGTTTTTGGGTCACCCTTCATCAAATAGTTACAGAAACACACGCAAACCTCTCTCCTCATTTGATTTACGGATATCTGCTAAACAGGTAGTTTTTGCTCCCTTTGTGCTCATCAAATAATCTCTCCAATGACCACTGGGGTGCCACCACTGGAAAGGCCCTCTCCCTGGAGGTTACCCACCTCAATTCATCCAGAGAACCCAAAACAAACCCCTTGAAGCTTTTAAGATTCAGGTAAGTACAGAGGGGAGAAAACTGTATATAAAGTAACTTGGTCCCAAGCCATTTAAGGCTGTAAAGATTAAAGTCAGCAATTTTAATCTGGACCTCAAAAGGAAGAAATTGAGCCCAGGCAGACAGAAAAAAGAACAGGGAACAGGGTGATTAGACACACACATTTTGACCTAGCCAAGGCAAATGTGAACTAAATCTTGAAGCCACCATCTCAGCCTTTGCATCCTAAACAGCCACTTGTCTAGAAAAGGTCCTCCTCACCTGTGCTAGTTTTGCAAATCCCTGTGAATGTCCTTCTATTTTTTTCACTTTGTGTTTTTGAGCATAACGGCGGTTGCCATCCATGATGAAGGCGATGTGCTTGGGCATTGGGCCTGCCTAAATGCAAAGGGGGGGGGGGAGAAAGCAGAGAAATGATAAGCTGTCAGAAAAATGATAATCAAACTCAATTTCAGCCTAAGCATGTATCATGAGCCAGGGCAGAGATCAAAGGTCAGCAGAATCAGGCACCTGCTGATAGCCCACATTCAAACCACCTGGACCCGATCCTCCTAGTCTTGCTTGTTCACCTGTGCCTCATTCTGGCCCAGAAGGGATGAGCAAATAAAGACCTGCTGCCCACTGCTTGTCTGCCCACTGGTTCTGTCTGGCAAGCAAGCGGGTGGTAGCAATAATAGGTCACAGCAATAGAAGTGAGTGGGTAGACTTGCTAAGGGAGGGAGCGCAATGAGAATGTATTGCTAATGGCCTCCCAAACCAGGACAAGGCATGAACTCAGGCTTGCCCTCCCTAAAGGTGAGCACAAAGTGGGGGCGGGGGGGGGGGAACGGCCCGAAAATAACAGTTGTGTGCAGAGTGCAGGAGCAAAAGCGACACAGATTAAGTCAGCAGTACACCTCTACTCCCCAAATTACAGGGTTTTTTAAAATAATAACTGCTGAGCTTTAGAAGAAAAACACAGAAACTGAAAGGTGGTCCAGAGCCTAATCCTAGCAGATCTACGAGCACCATAGGAAAGCCTTGTTCATATACTCATAAAGGTTGGCAACCTGCAAATATACCATATTTTTCGTTCCACAGGGCATACCTGACCATAGGGCGCACCTAGTTTTCAGAGGGGGAAATCAAATAAAAAAATATGATTTACCCCCCCCCCTCCCCAGCTCTGGGAGCAGCGGACAGGCTGCACGCGCTGCTTTCCCCCACCGCCAGCTTCCAAACCAGGTCGGGGAGCAGCGCAAAGGCAGCGCGCCGCCTTCCCGCTGCCCCCCGAGCTTGTGGGGCTGGCGGTGGGGGGAAGCACTGCTTTCCCGCACCGCCAGCCTCAAAGATCCCTGAAGCCTTTGGAGCGCAGCAGGACCTCGCGTTGCGCTCCAAAGGCTTCGGGTTCCTTTCACTGACCCAAAGCCTTTGGAGCGCAGCGCTAGTTCCCGCTGCACTCCAAAGGGTTGAGGCTTCCGGGAAAGCCTTTGTAGCCTCCGGAGGGCAGCGGGGTGAAGGCACCCCGCTGTGCTGCAGAGGCTTTGCGCAGCTAACCCCAAGCTAGAAGAACGAGACGGAGCGCTCCGTCTCCCTGTTCTGGTTTTGGGGTTAGCTGCGCAGCCTGCATTCGCTCTATAGGACGCACACACATTTCCCCTTAATTTTTGGAGGGGAAAAAGTGCGTCCTATAGAGCAAAAAATACGGTACATACACACACACACACACACACACCAACCTGCTGAGGAATAGTGGAGGAGGAACAGGGAGTTCTGTCCTCCTTGCAGGAGCCCACATTGTTTCTGGGCTGGGTGCAGAGGACAGGCAGAGCCAGCCAACCCTTCTCCACCATCCCACTCACTTATCTGCCTGAAATTCCTTCCTGCCTATGGCCAAAAGAGCTATCCTCTACGGCAGGGCTGTGGAACCTGCAGCTCTTGGTCAGGCAATACCTGGCCCTTAGCCTAATGCCATGTCAGGTGGGAAGCCTGAAGGGAGGAAACATACGGAGTTCTGAAAGTGATCACTACAGAACTTAGAGAATAGTAATTTGTCTGTCCCCTCGGCAGTACACTATTGGGTGGGGGGGGGAGAGAGAGGTGGGTGCCCCTGCCTATATTTAGCTCTGGCCCATGAGAGATCACTGGCAAGAGAAGGAATGCCACTGCAGAAAGAGGGTTCTCCAGGAGAGACTCTAGGACCAAAATTTCCAGAGGTGTTCCCCTATAGCAGAGGTGGGAATCTATGGCTCATGGGCTTAATGAGACCTGCAAGGCCTCCCCATTTGGCCCATAAGGCTGTTCTGGCCAAGCATGCCCACCTAAATGTAATATATGACATCGCGATGTGCGGTGCTTTGCAAGGTCTCATGGCCTACAAGATAGGGGATCTGGGTTGCCGGCAGGATTCAGCTCTTCACCCTTCAAGCCCTATAGCATCATACATGCAGCAATACTTCTAACACTCACATGCAAGCATCCAAGTCAAATAACTTGTGATAGCATCAGCTTAACACTTACCTTTATCACACTGGCACAGAATCTCTCCAAGATGGACAAATCTCCTTCTTTTATCCAAGACATGGTCTTCCCTTTTCAAGCAAACTTTTTTAAGTTGAAGAGAAAGGAGAGCCTGAAAGTTATGGGAAGGAAAAAAAAGTTTTATTCATCCTTATTAATTAAATTTCTATCCTGCCCTTCATCCCAAAGAAGCCCAGGATTTGGGGGGTGGGGAGGGGTGGGAAACAAAGCAGTGAAACAAAATAGTAAAACGAAAACATCAGTAACATCTAAAAACAGTCACATATCCTTTGAGCTAATATTGAAGGTCTACCAGGCTTGCATGTTGAGCACACTGCTTTGTGGATGTGAGTTGTGGACAACTTACACCTGCCAGGAGTGATGCTTCAACACCTTCTACATGAACTGCATCAGGAAGGTTTTGGGTATCACTTGATAGGACAGAGACTCAAACAAAGATGTGCTCTCCCAAGCCCACATTCCCAGCATGTCAGCACTCTGGTCTCAGTGACATCTACGCTAGCTTGGTCACGTCTACAGAATGGAAGACGGCAGAATCCCCCAGGGCCTGCTCTATGGGGAGCTGGTTTTAGGCACCAGGTCAGTTGGCAGACCATCTCTGTGTTACAAAGATGGCTGCAAAGGTGACATGGAGGCTGGCAACATTAATCCCGCCATATGGGAATCCCTTGCAGACAATTGCACTATTAGGAAACAGTCAGGTCGTGTATCCATAGCAATGACCAGAGGAAGAATTACTGCTGGGAGGAGTAGAGAGAAGAAATGTTGTGGTGCACCTGCAGCAGCACAACCGGACAATTTTATCTGTCTCTGTTCAACAAAACATGTCTCTCCCATATTGGTCTGTACAGCCACAGCAAGTGCTGTAAGTCTCCAATGGTTTGACTTTACTCACAAAGGTGCACTTTTCCATTGTCTCCCAAGACAGGCGGATGCCAGCTGGAACAACTAACTGCTGGGAACAGTTATCTTTCAGCCATCAAATGCCTTTTTGAACAGGTATGTTTTAAAATACAATCTGAAGACACCGGAATTTTGGGACACAGGGTCGTCTTTGGATGAACATGCATCTTACTGATCCATAACAGAAGGAATGAAGGTTCTCTGGTTCTCCAGCTGTTGCTAGACTACAACTCTCATCATGGCCAACTCCTCACTATACCGGCTGGCGCTGATGGGGAGTCCAGCATCTGGAGGCCCCCAGGGTCACCATGCCTTGTTTCACAGCAGTTATGGAGGAACCTTTGCAGTTTTATTGATTGTAATATGATAGAATATTGGCCCAGTGTATAACCACAGAGCCTAGGGCTTGCCGATCAGAAGGTCAGTGGTTCGAATCCCCGCGATGGGGTGAGCTCCCGTTGCTCGGTCCCTGCTCCTGCCAACCTAGCAGTTCGAAAGCATGTCAAAGTGCAAGTAGATAAATAGGTACCACTCCGGAAGGTAAACGGCGTTTCCGTGCGCTGCTCTGGTTTGCCAGATGTGGCTTAGTCATGCTGGCCACATGACCTGGAAGCTGTACGCCGGCTCCCTTGGCCAATAAAGCGAGATGAGCACTGCAACCCCAGAGTCAGTCATGACTGGACCTAATAGTCAGGGGTCCCTTTACCTTTTACTAACCTGGCTTTTAAGATCCACCTGCCTCTATGTTCTTTCAGGTTTGTTTGGATTTCTGTTTCAATTGCGTATTCTTACGCAAGGCAATTTTCATGGAAGAGCAATATATTTTAAAACCCTATAATAAAATTAATCTCTGCAGAGGATGGCCCTGCCATACTAGCATTGCTAATTGTGCAAGAGTCCATGGGCATGTGGGCTCCTATACAGTACTGCCCACAAAGCTTTTGCCACCCTTTATGTGCAAATAAAGAAGAATTCAGAACTAACTCCTGCAGCAAAGCAGCAATTCCTCATGTAGCCAGCAAGGCTGAAGCAAAAGACGGTTCAATTGACTATTGTTGCTCCAACCAGTTGCTGTGGAAAAAAAAGTTTCAGGGTGCAATTCTGCAGTACTTACCTGGGAAAGTCCCACTGAACTCAATGGAGCTGAATAGACATGTACTGGACTGTGGTGTCAGTTACATATCTCCTCCCTCAGTTACAGTAACCCCTCTAGCATTACTGGGGCAAAAGGGAAGAAGGCTTTCTGCCTTCTCTCTTAGCAATTGTTTCAGTGGTTTGAAGGCTGTTTCTCTTCTCTTGGACAGTGCCTTGTCTTTATACATTTGCCCAGCAGCCATAGGAGACCTGGAACTCCACATGAAGTAGTAGGAGGAATGCAGTGCCCCCGTCCCTCCTCTGCACTCAGCACAGAAATGTAGTAGGTTGCTGCAAGAGGGACAAAGCTATTCATCCTAACCCCCAGCAAGGTAACAGGGTGTGCATTTGGTTTTTGGGCAGACTAATAACTTTAGTGGGGTTATTTGGAAGGCTGCTACTGGGGCAGTGGGAGGAAAAGGCTGAGGTGGGGTTAGAACACAGCAGAAAAGGAGGGAATGCTGTACTCCATAAAATAAATAATGGCAGCTTCCTGTTTGTGTAATGCTCACCCCAGAGAGGCATGTTAGCACCATCACTATCTGTTTTAGGTGCCTGGCAAATACATTTTTATTCACCCAGACCTGTGGACTTTAATTTTTTGCTTCTTTTAGTAGAGCGGGGTTGAGTTGGATCTTCTGTTTTATACATAATACAGTGGTACCTCAGGTTAAGCACTTAATTCGTTCTGGAGGTCCATACTTAACCTGAAACTGTTCTTAACCTGAAGTACCACTTTAGCTAATGGGGCCTCCTGCTGCTGCTGCGCCGCCGGAGCCGGATTTCTGTTCTCATCCTGAAGCAAAGTTCTTAACCTGAAGAACTATTTCTGGGTTAGTGGAGTCTGTAACCTGAAGCGTATGTAACCTGAAGCGTATGTAACCTGAAGCGTATGTAACCTGAGGTACACTAGCTTTTAATTTTGTAGGTCAATTCATGTTCTCCTTTCTGAGAAAAAGTGACTCATACTAATAAAAGTGACAGAATGATAATTATGACTATATAGTAGTAATATAATATGAAGACTATATGCACCTGTAACTCAGGATAACACTTTGTGCATCTGATAAAACAAACTGTGGTCCGTGAAGGCTTACGCCATCATAAACTTTGTTTAAGGTGCCACATGACTTTGTTGTTCTTGCTGCAACAAGATTAACACAGCTGGAAATATGATGGAGGTGTTAGTCATCAATATATCAGCGTTTCTGCTTTATTTTTTTAACTCTGTTTACTGCTCTTGAAAGCCACTTTGAGAATCATTTGGAAAAGATGTCTAAAAAAAACTTGAAGAAATGTAGCCTAGTTTTCACTGAAGTGGCAAACCTAGGAGTGTTCCACTTCAGATTACAAGGCAAGATCTTTCGCATTATTGACTGCTCCTCCCCACAAATAATGATGATACAAAACTCCTTGCCTGCAGAAAAGTAGCACATCAGAAAGAAGCATTCTAGCCTAGCCCTCTTTCAAAATATATATTTTTGGAGTTTCTCTAGCCATTCCTTGTATGAGTTTCTGAACACACACAGGAAGTTCCTGGTCTATCCATATGGATTATTTGGCAATATGAAAAAGGTAGTGGGAGGAACTTCTCTAAAGATGTCAGTAAACTCCCCCGTCCTTCTCATAATTACTAAGGGTGTTGGGAAAAACAAGGTATTTCATCAAAAGAGGAAGATGTAATTATTGTCACCTCTCCCATGACAGGAGGAGGAGGAGGAGGAGGAGAAGGGGGAACCCTACCTTTAAAAACAGAAACCATAAAGCAGGTTCATTTTCATGGCCCAACTAAATGAAGAGAGTGGAAGCAAGACATTCCCACTTAGGCCCTACTTCCTAGCGCTCTCTCTGTGTATAGGTAAACAAATATACACATAACCACCACACGTGAATGACCATACTTATCATCAATATTTATACCCTTCCTATAAAGTATCTCAAAGGTGAAACCCTTTACAGTTGGAACAGATTCTTCCTTATTCCCTAGTATGTTCCAGGGTTTCTGAAAAAGTGCTTAACAGTTCAACCCTATGCATATCTACTTAGAAGTAGGATATGCTGTAATCCTAGGAACTTACCTGTAAATTCCAATTAAATGGGGCTTACTTCTGAGTAATGTAGGATCATGTTATTCTTTCATGGGGTTTTTTTTACATATAGTTGGACTGTTGGGGGGGCGGGTTACGGAGGTAGAAAAACTGCAACCTTATACCCACTTATCTCAGAGTGAGACCCAGAATGGGGATTACTTTCCATATAGAGTTGTTCTATAAATCTCCAGCAGTAGCATCAACGAAAGAGTAAAAACAATAGGATTATGCCCTGAAAGAGACTTCAGCTGTCAGCCTAACCCCACTTACCTGGGAGAAAGGTCCATTGAATTCAACAGGACTTACTTCTGAGTAGGCATGCTTAGGATTGCAGAGTGACCAATCAATTAGAGCACAACCTGTTGTAGGTTCATAGGAACCCAGAAAACTGCCTCATACCAAGTCAGACTACTGAGCCACCTAGCTCAGCTCGTCTACACTTGGCTGGCAGTGGGTTTCAGGGGAGTCAGTCTCTCCCAGCTCCACCTGAGGATATCTGGGGTTGAACCAGGGACCGGTTCCCATGCAAGGCAGATGCTCTATCCCTGAGCTATGATTCTCCCACTTCACCAGATTCATCAAGAGTCAAACCCATCCCAGGGATTAGCGCTGTAGACCACAAAACCTCACACCGCAGTTTATTCGTTCATCTTTTAAGGCACCACCAAAACTCTTTTGGCACTGCAACAGGCGAATCCTTTTCCAAAAGATGAACATACGGTTCACCATGTCACCCACGGAAACAAACTAAGAAAAGCCATTCGACCTGGAAGAGGGGCCCTCTCTCTTCCCTCCACCTTGAAAGGGGTCCCTCCCAAGACGGAGGGGGCACTGGAACCCCCAAAACCACCGCAGGGAGCAGAAAGAGCCCCGATCCCTCTTCCCGCCTAAGAAGGGCTCCTGCGTGTTTGTCTCTACAGGGCAGTCGCTCCAAAGGAAGCCCCGCTGAGCCTGACCAGTAATGCGCTCCTCTCACTCACCCGCCTGCCGGGTCTGAAGTTGCACCTCTTGGAGCCTCGGCGGCGGCGGCTGCTCTGCAAAGGAGCGTGACGTGCCCTTCCGTATATGTCACTGCGACTCGACCCGCCTTCCGAGTTACGTCACCGTCTCGGAAGTGCGCGGCGAGCGCGCGCCCCTTCGCAGGAGGGGAGGAGGATTCCAAGGCCCGGCCCCTCAGAGAAAGAGGGAGTGCGCGTGCGCGCGTTTGGCGTTCTCCTGGCCGAGCGTTGAAAGATTCGAATTGGAACGCTCGCGTTGCAGCTGCAACGGATGGTGCTCGAAGAGGCTCGCGATATTCTGACAACAGCAACGGCGCTGGCATACAATAAAAATTTAGCCTAGCATATGTGTATGCATCTTATATCTATCTAGAGCTGTGTGTGTGTGTGTGTGTGTGTGTGTGTGTGTGTGACACGAAAATCAGTTCTAAATACTGCAGTGCAAAACATTTAAATTCTGATCGTAAAAATAATAGTGATGATAATAATATTCTGCTTGATATCAAAACAGCATTAACACTTAGCATCGATAATAACTGGAAGTGCAGGCAGAGGTGAAACGATAGGTATAAATGGCGGATAAATGGCAAGCTGACCTTTGTTCACCAGCCTTGAAGTACAGTACAGGCGAATCGCGTGGCACTGTCTAGCAGCGACTGCCAGCGCCACCCGAAGCCTGGCTAGATCGTCGGTGGTTTTAGAAAAAGAGTATCGGGAACAGACAATCCGTCGATCCCACAGTTTGCTCGAAGTAAGTCTCATGGAGTTTAATGGTGAAAACTTGCATAGGGTTGTAGCCAGCAATATTATCACCGCTATCGTTATTATTTACTCTGTCTTTTAGGTTGACTTCTTACTGAAGGTGAGGCTACATTACAAGTCAATATGCAAAATTCAAAATCAGTAATAAAAACATGATCAGTTACAGTGTAATGAAATAACATTAAACAGTGCTGCTAAACAAAAGTTATCTTAAAACATGCCAGGATACACATAAAAACTACAAACAAACCCTAAAACCAAACCAAGATATAACAAAGCAAATGTTTTGTGTGTGTGTGATTATTATTAAGGCATCATTTATTTTTTTTAAAAAAGATTATTTACTATGAATAATTAGTTCTTCAATTTGCTTGTTTTCCTGTTCATGCCCAATATTTTCTCCCTTTTTTATCAGGTTCATTCAGGAGTCTTTTTACACCCATCGGCACACCGGGATTTTTCAATGAGTCTTGTGGGCACCAACGCCTCTGGTCATTTCTTTCCCCCCACCACCATATGAGGCACGAAAAGAGCATGCACACCACACACTTCACTTTTCAAAGGATCTGAATAAAAGGCAGATCTAGTATAATTAATCTGAGCACATGGAGCTGAAAGAAAAAGAAGTGACTCTTCCAACTCTTTTCTTCAACTCTGTTCTTTTTGAGGAATAAAAGGGTGACTATTCTTGAAGAGTGATTAGATGGGGCGGTTCAGAGGCTTCATGGGCAATAGGGAAGACCTCAGCTGTGGTGGACTTTGGGCCCTTAAATTTCAGTGTCGCCCTGTGTGATGCTAAAATTTGGTGTCCCCTGCCTCTTGCGCTCTGTTTTACAGCATTGTTGTGCTGCTTGGCAGCACGGTGCCCAGTGCAGCCACACTGGTTGTGCTACCCTAAAACCACCTCTGACCTCAGTATCTTGAAACCCACACTTGCCATGTTGGCAACCCCCTATATCTGATAGCAAGCATATGTGCAGTGACTGTGGTTTTCTTAACGTTTGTACAGGGCCCTAGAAAATTTGGCATTTTATAACTAATGATCGGTATTTCCTGAAGTAACCCTGCTGTCAGTCTGCGTTAAGAACACTGATAAGTGATAGCCTGAATTTGGCAAGCATGAAAGAAAGGATGTAAAATGTTTGCTTTACCTTCAATGAAACTTCACGTTTCTGTCAGTCTAGAAGACATCTGAAGGCAGCCCTGTTTAGGGAAGCTTTTAATGTTTGATGTATCGCAGTATTTTAATATTCTTTTGGAAGCCGCCCAGAGTGGCTGGGGAAACCCAGCCAGATGGGCGGGGTATAAATAATAAATTATTACTATTATTATTATTATTATTATTATTATTATTATATAGTCTCTGTCTTCGAAAAAGAGCTTCCAGCGGCTCCTTCTGAATACCACAGGGCTCTGGAATAGGGCTAGAGAGCCTTTGACCCTTCAGACATTTTTGAACTCCAACTCCCATCAGCCCCAGCCTAGATAGCCAATGATCAGATGATAGGAGTTGTAGTCCAACAGCTTCAGGAGGTTCATTACCTCTAGAAAAGTATCAAAGTTCAGATTTAAGGCTGCTGGCAAGAAGGGCTATCCACTGCCCACTCTTCTTCTGGTAGGGCTCCTGTGCTTTAAACAGCCAGTAGGCAAGTAGAATTTCAACAGGGATAGCTTTTTTTTTCAGCATGGAGAGGCTGTGCTATGGGGAAAACTTTATCCGCTAAAATCTGTCTGCCATGTAGTTGCTAATGCACAGGAGCCTTGCCAAGGGGGGAAATGTAAGAACTCTAATTATTATTTTAATTATCACCTATTGTTTGATTAATGTGTACTTCATTCATTAGCATTTTCAAATAACCTGCAATTATGCTTTACAATTCTTGTTATCTTGCATCCTCTTCCAGTGAAATCGATTTACAGGCTGGATCATAAGACCAAATTCCAGAGCAGTAACCGTCGTATCCTTGTTATGATCAAAGCAACAGATAAAGCTAAGATACAGTGAGTGACTTCTTCAAACCACCACTCCCCTTTCCTTCCAGTCTAAATCCAAATCATTCTGAAACACTCACTCCCCCTAACAACCTTGAGTAGAACTTAAGATGTTTCCCATTCAAGCCTTGACCTCTCCAAAACAAAGTGTTGTATATGATGCTAGTCCACAGAGCAGACCCATTGAAGTTAATGGGCCTGACTAAATTAGATTCAGCCATTTTAGTGGATTTACACTGAGTTGAACTTAGTTGGATACAACCTTAAAACTGAATAAATTCTTGCCTCTATCACACTTATTTTATTTATCTGCTACATGAAATAATGGCATTTCATCTAAGACATGGTAGGGATGGAATGAGGGATTAGAAGGGAAATGGAAAGCAAGTAAATTCAGATATTAATTCTTCATAATGTTCAGGGCTTGCATTCCAATTAAAGCAATTTTAATTGATTTATCATAGCAGTTTCCATTGGTTGATAAAATGGGGGGGACAGAGACCAAAACAGTACATATTCCAATTGTTCAATGCCAGTTAAACTTTAAAGAAAAAATATATATGTGAAGTTAAACATGATGTTGAGGTTGGCTTTTCATTTTCATCATCATTATTAATTGTGTCACAGACAGGAAGTTCAAGGAACTGAAGTTACAGCGGTGCATTTAAAGTAACTGTGTATAAGCAAAATTGTACGCAAAAATATTATATTAGGACAAATTCACACTAAAACGCAGGTGAATGTTCACGAGGACTTTTTAAAAAAACAAACAAACCTGCAGATTAACGTGGAGAATTGAATTTAGAAATCAAAAGAAACTGAAATAGACAGATTTGCCCATCGTTACATAGAACCTTCTATATCAGGTGCACAAAGTGGTAACCTCAATGGATAGGAATATACAGAGAGATGATGTGGGGGAGGGAATATTTTTACACAGCCCATAGGTGTGTCCCATTATGATGCAGAGCACCAGTAAAAGTATAAGCCACTCAGAAGAGTAAAAGATCCAATCTGAATGGGTGTGTGACCTGCTGTCATCCAGCAATGAATTGGGAAAGCATCTCATAAGCACCTAGAGAAGAACAATTATTTTCCGTAGTGAGTCGGCCACTCCTAGATCCTATTAAACCTCAGTCTGATTATTTCAAATGTGGGTGATCGTGTGCATCACCAATATGAGCAGTGAAACCAGTGATTTAAATGGAATAGAATGTGAGAGCCAGTTAGCATTTTAGATTAGGACTGGGGAGGCCCAGGTTCAACTCACGAAGCTTGCTGGGTAGCATTGGGTCAGTAATTCGCTTTTTCAACCTATGTACCACACCATGTTTTGAGCAGGCATCGAAAACAGTACAGTGGAACCTCGGTTTTTGAACGTAATCCATTCCGGAAGACCGTTTGACTTCCAAAATGTTTGAAAACCGAAAACTGAAAGCGGAAGGCTCAATACAATAGGGAAACTCAAAACGGAAGCTGTGTAGCATTTTCGGCTTCTGAAAATCGTTCGGAAACCGGAGCAGTTACTTCCAGGTTTTCGGCATTTGAAAGCTGAAACGTACGATTACAGAGGCGTTCAACAACTGAGGTTCCACTGTACAATGAAGGTGCCTGAACAACATTAACAGGCAGTGAGTTCCAGAGAACAGGTGCTGGGGTTGCCATATTTCAAAAAGTAACGTTCCTGACACACACAAACTGCATTGCCATACATCTGGTTTGCCATAATTCCTCCCTGACACCATTTTAGGCAAGCCTAACAGGTGCTGCCCCACTATAAACGTTCCAAGTGCAACAACAGGGATAATTCAGTGTTGAGCATAAGGGTTAAATATGTTAATGTTAAAATCCACTAGCCAAGGCCAGGGGATGGGTGGGTTGCTTAGAGACCAAAGAGACATGGTCTCTGCCGAGGTAACACATGCTTTAATTGGATGTGTAGTTCTGATGCAATTTCCCCCGTATGTTTAAGCTGAATGGCTCACTGAACTAAGAAAGATAAAATCTTTCTATTCCTTTATCTTAATATTTTACAGTACTTTTGCTGTTTCCTCAGTAAAGTGTTTGCATAGCCCTTGGAATGTAACCCTCACATAAGATGTGATTCCCCTTTACTTGTGGGGTGGGGCTCCTGCACACCATTTACTGCTCTGCCAAAGGTAGCAAAATCCTATATTATTATTGCTACGCTTTTGAATTGCTTCATATGAAACGTCTCAGAGACATTTAACATTAAAAAAAAAATCAGCAATAGCAACCCATATGAAACACTTTCTTGTATACAAATAATTAAAACCATTTACGGTAATATATAAAAAATACAATTACAGCAATTTCAGATATAAAAGCACAATTAAAACAATTTGGTATATAAGAACCATTTCAAATCCAATACAGATACAGACTTGAGCTGGCCCTGAGCATGAGAGTTTGGTGACAAACGTAATTAAAGCAACATCACTGCCACACAGACAGTGTGGTTTCTGTCTTTCTGGAGCTGTTTTAATAGATGCAATCTGTTTTGTAGCTGGAGCTCTTAGAGGTGTCGTCAGCCCATTGGGTGATGGAAGGGGCGGGTTTGTCCTCGCAGTTTTGCAAGATGAGTTGCTTGGCAGCTGGGACTGCTTGGGGAAGTATTTACTCGAGGGTTATGTCCTATAAAACTGGCACATACCCCACCAGCAGAGTGAAGGAAACCTCAAGCACCAAATTATATACAGGTCAAAACTACACTAGAAGGATGCCGTTGGTGAGCACTCCCACATCATATACCCAAGGGTGCCAGATGGCTGTCTGCCAGTGTTGGCTCCAGGCTCTGGGGAGTCCTTGAGCAAGGTGTTCTCAATAACCCTACCCTGCTTTTCTTCCTCACGACTGTTGGTGCTGCCCATTTGCTTGACTGTAATGCAACCCAAAGCTGTTGATCTTGTTAGAATTCTGCTCCTTGATTGCAGTCATTGGATTTTTGTCTATCACATGACGGTATATGTTTTGACTCACAGAGTGGGAAGTGATGGAGACAGGATGTTTGTGTTACTGTGTTCCGTGAAGTGGGACTATTGTCCTTTGTTCTTTTTCTCTTTGCTGTCTGATGCTAGAAAGAGAGGGAGCCATGTTGTGTGTGTTTATATGTAAATAAAGTAGATTAGTCAAAATGCTGAGTTGCTGAGGTCTGTCACGCAAGCTGCAAAGACTCTGTGGATCCCTAAGTGTGCCGGTGTCTGTTGGCATCGGTTGCTGTGATGTTCGGGCTGAAGAAAGCTTTTGAAGCTTCTGAATGATTGACCAGGAGAGAGAGAATATGCCAGTCGGGCATGTGTCTCTGCCAAGGTCCTACTCGAGTGTGTGACGAGCTCCTGACAGATCTTACCGGGTGAGGCCTTGGCTTTCTAGGGCCTAGCTGAGAACTAGGCTTCTTGTCACTCCCATTGCAGCAGATCGGCTCATGGGAGCCCGGGTGATGCCATCACCTCCTGGGCAGGTGACAGGAAAGAGGGCCCAGCCTAGATAGTGAGAGCAGCAGCAAGCTGATATGGCAGTTCCTCCACTATATGTCATGGTGGAAGCCATGTTTATTCTTGTGACTGCTTTATCTACATATTAAGTGGTAGGTGTGGCTAATTTTATCATCAAAATGTGCATATATGTGGGAGGAGCTGAAGACATCTTATAGGTACTGTCAGGGAACTGCCATCGGAGCTAGAGGCGGAGGGAAGGCTCCAGAGGGATGGCGGAGAGGGTCCCAGTAGGGAGAGAGGCAGCCCGTCCGCTGGGGAAGGAAATCAGCGTAACACCAGTAGAGAAGGGGGCAGATGGGGAATCGGAGAGGAGGCTCCAAGACTCTTCGCCGGAGACCAGCGGAGAGAGTACGGGTACTCCGCTGCCCACACCCTCCCTGCGCAGAAGACTTCCGCGCAGGGAGAGTAGGAGGAGACTTGGCATCAAAGAACTTTTGTGCTGGAAGAAGTTCAAGAAACGCCCACTGACGGATTCTGCCAGCGACTGAGACAGTCACGATGCTGGAGGCTGTTCAGTCAGAAAGGGTTTAACCAGGTAACCTCGCCAGCAGTGGCGGCAACTTATGCACGAGCAACCCCTAAATCCATTACAGGTACTTTTCTTCCAACCTGGCTGGTTCCTTGAGCCAAACTGGGAATCTGCTGCCCCTGTGGATCTTGCAGTCTGAGGCAGTCACCTCACATGACCTCAGGTGGGCTGGCCCTACCCGCTCCCTTACCCAGAAAGCAGTCATACCTCCATGTTCTAAGTAAGGATGGGTGAATGTGTCAGTTTCAGTTTCCTCTCTGTTTCTTATTTCCCAATACTAAGTTCAGGACAGGTCTCCACATTTTTACATCAGTCTTTAAAAAAATCTAATTCCTCATGAAAATCCTGATATACATATTTTTGTATGCACTTTTGCCTACCAGACACATTTTTACAAATAAGTTTCCCCTAATGCATATGTGTGCGTTATTTTCACTAATATATGTATTTTTATGCACATTTTACCTTATCATGTGCATTTTTGTATTAGTTAGCTGGAGAACCGCGTTGCTAAATTCACAGAAGTGCACATTTCACAGAAGTGCACATTTCAAAGATGGCTGTGTTTTGATCCCCATATTGTTTCAGAAACTGTGAATTAGTTAGCTTCACCTTGAAATGCAAACTTAATCAAATTACTCTCCTCCCTACTTTTGAGACAGCCACCATTGCTGCCCTCTGCTTTTGGGGGTCTCTCATTTGCCCACTTTCCTCACTCTGATGGTCTTATTGGTGATTCTGGCCTCCTTCCCTCCAAATCCTGACAATTCCAGACCCTCCGCATCCACCCATCCTCTTGCTTTTCTATCTTTGGAGTTCATTCTTTGGAAGCTTGTAGATGGGTTCTTAGTATTATAAACAGATCATTCAGATTTCAATACAGTGGTACCTCAGTTTAAGTACTTACTGTAATTCGTTCCGGAGATCCATTCTTAACCTGAAACTGTTCTTAACCTGAAGCACCACTTTTGCTAATGGGGCCTCCTGCTGCTGACGCACCGCCAGAGCACGATTTCTGTTCTCATCCTGAAGCAAAGTTCTTAACCCGAGGTAATATTTCTGGGTTAGCGGAGTCTGTAACCTGAAGCGTATGTAACCCGAGGTACCACTGTAAAGCAATTTTAGTGCTAAAACTGAAACCATTCGCCTTCATGTCTCTTCTCTCTCTCTCATCCTTCCACCTATGCATCTCTCTTCCTCAGTCTGGACTTAAGACTAGAAAAATGAGAAACAGGAATAAGCCAAGAAACTGAAATGGATCGATTCCTCCATCCCTAATCCTCAGACACTTTGCTCCCACCTTTCACTTTTCAAAGGCATCCGACTCCTTCTTTGCCACATAAGTTTGGAGCAGCCTTCCAGAACACCTGTGTGATGACACCTCTCTCTTACTTCATTTAAAGCCCTACTTTGAACCCACGTTTCCCATCAAGCCTTTGGCACAACGCCTATCCTCCACACCCTATGTAACTAATCCTAATCAAGTGGAGCAGAAAAAAATTGCATATTATTTCCCCTGCCTCCCATGTTGAATTTTAAAGATTTGTAAGAGCTTTAGACAGGCAACTAGCCTCTTGCATTCTGTGAAGCACTGCACACTGTAAATACTATGGAACAACAACAACAACAACAACAACAACAACAATAATAGGGTATCAAATTGATGCATCTCATCAGAACAAAGATTTCTTGCTGAACAGGACGTTGACCAGCAAAGCTCTGGTGAAGAAATACAAAACTCCTTCTGTGTGAGGAAAACAAGGTCACAGCCACACCATACATTTAAAGCTCTCTTATACCACTTGAGTGGGACGCAGGTGGCGCTGTGGGTTAAACCACAGAGCCTAGGACTTGCTGATCAGAAGGTTTGCGGTTCGAATCCCCGTGACAGGGTGAGCTCCCGTTGCTCGGTCCCTGCTCCTGCTAAGCTAGCAGTTCAAAAGCACATCAAAGTGCAAGTAGATAAATAGGTACCGCTCCGGTGGGAAGGTAAACGGTGTTTCCGTGTGCTGCTCTGGTTTGCCAGAAGCGGCTTAGTCATGCCAATAAAACGAGATGAGCCCACCCCACCCCACAACCCGACCCAACCCAACCCAACCCAACAACTCAACCCAACCCAACCAACAACTCAACCCAACCCAGTCCAACCCAACCCAACACCCAACCACTCAGCCGCAACCCCAGAGTCAGTCACGACTGGACCTAATGGTCGGGGTTCCTTTACCTTTACCTTTATACCACTTGAACAGCCATGGCTTCCCTCAAATTGTCTATTTATTTGGTTGTAAGTTTCTTTGGGTTGCCCTGGGCAAGATAAAGTGACTAACAAATTTAATAATAATAATAATGATAATAATAATACAATGGAACTGTAATTTGTTTATTGGGCTGGGCTGGGAATTGTAGCTCTGTGAGAAGTCTCCTTTCAGCACCCTTAAACTACAATTCTCAGGATTCTTTGCAGGGGGGATGCCATGACTGTTAAAGTGATATGTGAGTTTTTTAAATGCATGACATGGATGTGAACATACAGGATTTTTTTTGGGAAATTAGAGCTTGTTTGGTGACAGATATTTTCAGAGAGGGAAGTGTGTGGGGGTAGTAGTAAGAGTCCTTTCTGAAGAGGACACACAAAAGCAAAGGAAGCTGTGTTGGTCTATGGGGCGGGCAGGGGGAAAGAATCTAAAATTCATTCATGGTCAGGCAACATTTTAGGACTAGCCAAAGTGTCACAGAACAATGAGCTGCATTTTCCAGAAAACTTAATCTGGCTGGATGTTAAGCAAAGCAGGGCTGAGAGAGGAGGGGAAACAGTTTAATGAAAAACAGAGCAAGTAGAATGAGGGCTGAATTTCACACACCCCTCCACAAATGCTGCTGATCCAGTTTGCCTCCCTGCCTCACCGTAGTTGCTTTAAAAGCAGTTGAGAGGTGCAATCATGGATTTAATTTATTTTGCATTTATTTTGACTCTTGGCTACTTCTCAACACCAGGGGGCAGGTGTGGATGATTAGTCATCTATATGTGTATTTATTTAGCAGACGTTAGAAGCTACTTTATTGTATAAACTTACAGGCTGTTTACATGAAATATACATTAAAATTATCAATAAAAGTCCAGAGTTAAAATGAAGCTAACCTAAAGAAACGAACAAAAATCAAAATATCAATAAAACCAACAGTTAAAAACATGCATTATAAAATAAAACTGCATGTTAAAATACACATTGACCTTACGTATCTGTGTAGACTTGCCTAAATAACAAAAAAAATTAGCAGTTAAAAAAGTCAGAACTTTTCCTATAAAGCAAGGCATAAGCTCCTTGTGCCATGCTACCCATGCCTCAATACCAGAGAAATTAAAGCATTTTTAGAAGTGTGGGTTAAAGTCCTAGGCTTGTATATCCTTTAATTCAGGGGGTGGGACCATTTCCCAGCACAAATGGTTTCCTCATGGGGAACCAGGGAGGAGGTGCATGCCAGTCGTGGGTGGGGCAAAATGTCTTGGATCAACTCAATTCTTTCATTTATTTGGGCTATTTATAGCCCACTTTTCAGCAAAGACTCTCAGAGTAGCATACAATAGGAGAATAATCACAATTTATAAGCAATAAAACATGGAAATAATAAAAACTGAAATAAAACAAGACACAGCTGAGCGATACAATAAGGTAAAACGGCAACATTAAAAACCCCAAACACGTAAAAGGCCTGGGAAAAGAAAAAAGGGTTTCAAAGGCATCATCACTAACAAGAACCACCAAGGCTGGTTCAAGGCACGCCTCTTGGGAGTTATTTCCAGAGTTAGTGGCTACGTAGACACCATACATTTAAAGCACATTTTCATCAAAGAACCCTGGAAACAGTAGTTGCCATTTACAGAGTTGCCATTCCCAGTGCCCTTTTTTAAAAAACAAACTACAATTCCCAGAATTCTTTGGGGGAAGTCAAGTCATGTGCTTTAAATGTGTCTTAAATACGTACAGTAATACCTCTGGTTACGAACTGTCCTCCTTGCGAATGCTTCGGGTTATGAGCTCCGCTAACCCAGAAGTAGATCTCCTGGTTGCAAACTTTGCCCTGGGATGTGCATGTGCAGCAGGAGGCCCCATTAGCAAAAGCTCAGGTTAAGAACAGTTTCAGGATAAGAACAGACCTGCAGAACGAATTAAGTTCGTAACCCGAGGTACTACTGTATATGGCATGTGCACAGTCAGCAGGCTTCCATCCTGCCTCTTACAGACTGGCGGGGCAGCCGTGAGCCCAACATTTAGGCTGGTTGTGTTGGCAAAGACTCTCTCTTAAAACAAAGGGTGTAGCTCATCGCTGGGAAGAACGCAAACTGCCTGTGGGGGCTTGGTGAGCAGAGGGCGTTGTGCTGACCAGCTGCCACCATTTCCCTCAGGATGATGGCCTCCACTAGCACAGCAGCCCTGACAGGATCAGGCTCTCCCTCCTCCAGCTGGTCGGCATGCGGGCTGAAGTCAAAGCGGTCAATCATGTCGTTGAAATGGCAGAGCTGGGCAGGCGAGCAGTTGGCACACGGGTTAAGCGGGCAATACCCCCGCCGGTGCACCTCCAGGCTAACCCAGTGGATGTAGGTCTTGCGGCAGCGGGGGCAGTGGTGTAGGCGCTGGTGATCATGGAGGCGCTGGTGGAGTTTGAGGTGGATGTGCTGGGTGAAACGGCTGTGGCATAGGCAGCATGCGTAAGCCTTTATCCCAGAGTGCAGGCGGAGATGGGTTTTGAGGTTGCTGGTACTGCTGAAGCGTTTGGGGCAGACCTAGGGGAGAGATTGGTTTCTTGTTAGCCCAGGCACCAGTGCATTATGGGAAGGAGAAAGCCCTAGACTGGCTCATCTGTGCCTACGTAATTTCCAGAATGATGCGGTTCATATTAAGCCTTGAGCTTGCTCCTTTACTTGTCAAACATTAGTTCAGAAATCTCTGAACTATACCTGAAAGTACTGCCCACATGCTAGGTGAACTGAATTTCAGTTTTGGCTAGAACTATGAATGATTTCTAGTTTATTCTCTTACATGTGGTTTCCCCCTCTCTCTCGTTAGACTCTTTGGGCCTTTAAACTTAAAGAACATAATCATCGGGAAAAGGAGATTAAACCATCTACATTCCACTGTATGTATATTTTGATGTTCCCTTAGTCTTCTTAAGCATACAGTGGTACAAATGCTTCAGGTTACAGACTCTGCTAACCTGGAAGTAGTTCCTCAGGTTAAGAACTTTACTTCAGGATGAGAACAGAAATCGCGTGGCGGTGGTGCGGCAGCAGCAGGAGGCCCCATTAGCTAAAGTGGTACCTCAGGTTAAGAACAGTTTCAGGTTAAGAATGGACCTCTAGAACAAATTAAGTTCTTAACCAGAGGTACCACTGTATTTTATACTTCAGTGCAGCGACTTATAACATTCTGAATGCAGGAAAAAAATGAGCAAGGATTATTTGGATCAACTTGAATTGACCTGTGAATTGAACTGGTTTGTTTTGTAAAGGGATGTTCATGAACGTTCTCTTTTGGACATGTTGATGTTGAACTAGTTTCTTTTTAAAGTTTCCAAGCTCTGAGTATAGTGTAATTCAGCAGTGCTTTTCCTTGTGGCCATACGAAGAAATAAGGCCCACATGACTTTAATTAGAAGCTTTCTCCTTTTGGTTTCTAGTCCTAATTGCTTACAAATTCAGTGTGGCCCCAATGAATCACTGATGAATTGCATGATAATTTGTAGGTTTCTGTCGCCTGCTGAGACTTTTATTTCCTGCTGCACTGTAATGCAACCAAAGCCGTGTACAAATATAGAACTTTTAAAAAAGCCATGGATACAGTAAATCAAATTTAAATGCAACACACAAATACAACAATCATATATGATAAAAGAATTAAGGAAGTCTGAAATGTGAAGAAAGATTTGGCATCCATTTCTTACACTTAGATATTGAAATATTAATATGCCTAATAAGCTAATGATAAAATTAAGTATGATTTGATGGCCTGTGTAAAAGTGAACCAGCTGGACAGACACTATCCCAGGCCCTGGCCCTAGGATCTACCAACTGTGTTTCCAGTATTGAGGGACCAGATAACAGCTTCCCGCTCCATATTTCCAGTCTTATGGTTTGGACAAATTCATATTGACTATTGGGAGAAGGAGAAAAAACTTCTCCCGCTCCACTCCATGTATAATTTTATATCACTATCACTTTCCTCCTTAAACACCATTTCCCCCCAAAGCCCCAAACGCTGTAACCTTTCCATACACACATATCTCCAAGGGGCCATCTCCAATGGTCTCCTTTCCCCACCCCCCACTTCACCTGGCCTTTTAATGAGGAAAGAAAAGTGTCACCTACCAGGCACTTGTGTGGCTTCTCGCCTGTGTGCACCAGATGGTGTTTCTGCAGGTGAGCCAGCTGAGTGAAACGTTTTTTACAGACCTGGCACTGAAAAGGCTTCTCACCACTGTGCACTCTCAGGTGGACCTGTAGGAGAAAGAAGATTCCACCTAAACATTAGGAAGAACTTCCTGACAGTAAGAGCTGTTCGACAGTGGAATTTGCTGCCAAGGAGTGTGGTGGAGTCTCCTTCTTTGGAGGTCTTTAAGCAGAGGCTTGACAACCATATGTCAGGAGTGCTCTGATGGTGTCTCCTGCTTGGCAGGGGGTTGGACTCGATGGCCCTTGTGGTCTCTTCCAACTCTATGATTCTATGATTCTATGATTCTCTATGAGAAGGACAGTTCAGTGTGAGCTTGGAAGGGATGGGAAAAGGGGTGCCTAAAAGGGTGTCTTTAAGAAAGAGAGACATAGAGAAGGGAACAAAAGGGTTCAGTTGTAGTTCGGAACAGAGGAAGCTGCTTTAAAACTGAATTGGACCAGTGGCCCATCTAGCTGACAGGCAGTAGCTGGCCAGGGTTTTAGGCAGGGAACATTCCCAGCCCTACCTAGCAATGCCTTGGATTGAACCTGGGATCTTGCGCAAACAGGGCAGATCCCCTGCTACTGAGTTATGTGTCTTCCCCTAAAAGAAGTGCAATGTTGAAGACAAAGAATCTCCATCTGCAATGAAGGGTATGCCACATCCAGTGCATCAGGAAGGAGTGCAAATAAAGAAAAGTGCTATTATTCCGCACCATTTTGAAGTTCCCCTCCTTTTTTCAGCCAAAACCCATCTACTAAGCTGGTCTCCACTAACAGAGAATCTAAGGGTAGTCACAATGTGAACTTCAATAAGGTATACTCAGGGCCGGATTTAAGTTTGATGAGGCCCTAAGCTACTGAAGTTAATGGGGCCCTTTATATGTCCAGCTGTCCTTTGTCAACAACAAATTGTCACTGTTTTTTGTGTTGAATATATGCTATATGGTAACTAAATGGACCTAATAGGTATCTAAAGCCATTTGAACATAATTTTATTTGTTTTTTATCTTATATTTTGGAAATGTACATCCAGGTTTTTTCCCTTTAATATTTTTTTGGGGCTCCCAAGAGAGTGGGGCCCTAAGCTATAGCTTGTTTAACTTATACGTAAATCCGGCACTGGGTATACTGAGCACACACCTGAGTGAACCCTTACTACACCCACCCACACCCCTAGCATATTACTGGGCTATGTCTGCAACCCCATCTCATAATTCTGATCCCAAAATAAAATTCTGCAGCCATAATCAAACACAATGTCACAATGGAAAGTCCAGTGTTAACACAGGTACAGACACCTAGACTGCAACTGCACGTGGGTGGAGCAAGTGTTTAGGGCGGGTGCGCAGCTGCGTACAAACTGTACAAACTGGTACTTGCCAGCTGTTTGCAGATGCTATTTAGTCACCATGCCCAGACCTTCAGGAAACAGATCTAGGCCATCATGTAAGATGTGGAGAGAGGATTAGACAATTCTGGATGGGGAGGATAATTGGTATGAATTTGTTCTCAACTGGATGTCTCCAGATGTACCTTGAGATTAGAAAGCTGCCCAAAGCTCTTGGAGCAGATATGGCACTCGTATTTGATTTTGCCATTCTTCTTCCCCAGAGGGTACGTCGCAGACTTGCTGCTTTCCTGGGAATCTGGTGGGTTGGTCTTTGGCGTACTGAGGTTGATGGTCTCATCCTGGCAGGCAAGCTGGGAGGGAGTTTTCAGCTGCTGAACTACGGAGCCACGTGAAATGGCAGGGTGCCCTTGGTCAGAGTCCAGAAATGAGAAGATTCTGGTGTGGAGGGAAGAGAAATGATTTGGTGGTTTCTGGTCCACTTGTTTTCCATGTGGCAAGATGGGAGGGAAGACAGCTTGAGACATCCCTGGAGAGGGAGGTCGCCTTTTCCCCAGGGAAGACAACTTTAGGGATGTGATTTCTCTAGGACCTGTTAGCGGCAATTCAAATGGAAATGAGAAGGTCTGAGGGGCCAGTAGAGATGTGGGGTGGTGGGCAGCTGAGGTGTTGCAGGCATAGTGATAAGCCTGGGGTAGGTTGCTCCTTGACTGGCACTCTGAGCAGGAGGAAGACGGGTTACTGAGATGGAGTGGAATTTCCTTCCAGAGCGAGGTAGTTGGGTTGTATGGGTAGCAACTGGGGCCATACTGTCTCTCTGGGCCCATGTCTCTTTGGCTTGGAAGACCAGGCTTCTCAGAAGCAACTTCTTCCTTGGATGCATTGTGGGGAAAGTTAAGCTTTGTGGCCTGTTCTTGCATGCTCCCAGGGGTCTGTGCCTTTGAATCCACTTTTTGGTTTTCTGCTGTCTTCCTTGGCGGCATGTCTTGTTCTAGCTCTTCAACATCAATTATCTCTTCCTCATCCTTGTCTATCTTTGTGTAAATAGCTGTGCATTTTTGGTCATCTTTGGAGGCATTCTGTGGTGGTCTACTGACTTTCTCAGGGAAGGGCTGCACCAGGAAATCCCTTGAGATTAGATACTCTGCAAAGTAAGAAGCAAATCTACTTTTAATTGTTGCTCTTTATCTTGAAACACATTAATTTTTACTTAGAGAAATGAAATACAACAGTAACAAAAAAATCTGACAAACTTTAAATATATCTTCCACAATCATCACCTCTTTTTTTAAAAAAAGGAAAGAAATGAAGAATGTCAAATATATATTTTTAAAACCTCTTTTCAGATTCTATGAGACAAACTAGTTCTGAGTAAAGATGGATTAATAGTTTCCCCAATCTTAAATCCAGTGCTTCACATTGCCACATCAGATTGCAATATAAAAAGTCCTTTGAAAATCCATCAGCAGTTTGGTTCCAGTTCCTCAGACATTTTTGTTTGCAATTTTTCCAAAGGCACACATTTTTGCAAAGCAATTTATCCTAATAGAATGCATTTTGCATGTTCTTTTCCCTAACATATGTATTTTTTTGCACACTTTACCCTAGTATATGCACTTTTGTACACATCACTTGGCTGGGGAAAAGTGAATTACAAAATTCAGAGAAGTGCACAGAGAAGGAAAACTACATTTCAGCTGACATACTGAGAACTGCAAATCAAAAATGCACATAAAATTGATTTTCTCCTCTGTCGCTATATCTGAGTCTGTTTCTCAAAAATGAACTTTTTCCATCTCAGCATATGTAGCTGGGTGATGGGGAGTAGGAGGAGATTTATGTGTTTCTGCTGCTGGTCCTGGAACAAAATGGCCCTTGCCTGAATTGTTGCTGTTCAAACTATTGACAAGTGTGGTGTTTGGCACCTACAGTGCCCTCACCTGGTTTAGTTGCCAGCTCCCCTGAGAGCAAGCTTTGGAATTCTCTAGGTACCCCATGCATGTACCAAACCAAAAGTTCAGCTCCAGCCAAGATGGGTGTTATGGTATAGAAATAGATCTCCAGGTTGCACTGACAAGCCATTAAGTTCTGGGCTGGGTGGGTGGGAGCCGGATTCACATAGCACATCCAGTTACTGCAGTTGGGGTCATTCACGTCAAGGATGTGGTAGAGCTCTCCTTTTGCAGAGAGAACCTGGAGGAGGGGAAAGAGAAAGAAGATCTGGGTAATTGCTGACATACATATATTTTAACGGGGGACCAATTATTCTGTGTTCCTCTCTCCCAACAGTCTTAATACTTCCTTGAGCCTCATCCATTTAAGGCTGCCGTCTCCTCCTAGACTCCATCTTGCGACTGATTAAAAGCAAACTTCTGTGGCTTAAACATCAAGCCAGCTTTTCTCTTTCCCCCCACACACCCCTGCTTTTCACCAAGCAGCTTAATAAAGAGAACTCAGAAGCTTACTCCCCATTTTGTGATGTTTTGCTTCTTCCTAACCAAAGTGTTGCCCATCCAAGTACAGAAAGGGGTTGCTCCTTGATCAAAATTGGGTTACAATATCTTAAGTGTCCAGATACGTAGCAAACAGACAAACAAATAACTTTTAAAAATACATTGTAGATTTTATCTGGCCAAACGGGGCCATTGTGTCTTTTGAAGCTGTTACTCACCCTCCAGTAGTGCTTCTGATCCATGTTTTTGGGGATATTCTCTCTGGTGTAGATCTTCCCAACCAGCGGCCCAAAGCGTGTTCCTTGCGGGATATACTCTCTGCTGATCACAGCTATTACCTACAGAAGCACCAAAACTATGTCAGTTCAAGTTAGGCCTGAGTCTTCATGTCCTTCATTTGTACCTGCTAATATTTGGCTGATTTTATAAACACATATTTTATGGCAGGAGAGACTCATGCACATGAGCACACAAAGAGAAACCAGGAACATAATATTTTAGACTTGTAATGTAATGCTCCAGAAACCTAAATAGATTAACACCTCTGCATGGTGGAAGAAGAGTTCCCTTGTAAGAAAGGTAAAGGTAAAGGACCCCTGGACTGTTAAGTCCAGTCAAAGGCGACTCTGGGGTTGCAGCGTTCATCTCACTTTCAGGCCAAGGGAGCCGGCGTTTGTCCACAGACAGCTTTCCAAGTCATGTGGCCAGCATGTCTTCCCACCACAGTGGTACCTATTTATCTACTTGCACTGGGATACAAGTATCTACTCTGCATGGGACATGGGTGGCACTGTGGTCTAAACCACTGAGCCTCTTGGGGTGAGCTCCCATTGCTCTGTCTCAGTTCCTGCCAATCTAGCAGTTTGAAAGTTCCCTTGTACAATTGATTGTACTGGTCTCCCAGGTCCTGTGCTATCACTGTAACCACTGCACCATGCTGGCTCTCTTTTTGTCAACCTCCCTGACCTGACCGAGACAGAAGAAGCAAAGCTGATGGAGGGGTCATGGCTAAGTGGTAAAGCACCCCTGCTCTGCGTGCAGAAAGCCCCAGTTTCAAACCCCAGGCAGAGCTGGGAAAAGACCCTTGGGTTGAAACTACAGAGAGCCACTGCCAATCAGCGTTGACAATAAGCCGACTCATTATAATGTCGGGTTTTGTTGTGCATACCTACTTCTAATCCCACTTCCTTTCCACAGCACATCTATGCTATAGGTCCCATCTGCACTATACATTTAAAGCAGTACCGTACAACTTTTAACAGTAACGGCTTCTCAAAAAAACCCAACCTCTTGGGAACTGTAGTCTCTTAAGGGTGCTTAGAGATGTGAGGAAACTCCTATTCCTTCCCAGAGCTATGATTCCCTGGGAAGAGGGACTTCCAGTTAAGCCACTTCAAAAAAGAAATTTGCACCCTGTATGGATTCTAAAAATCCATGTATTACCCTCTGCATAGATTGCTTAACCAATATAAAACCTGCCCTCTTTTTTTTCTCCAGCTTATGCTTCCCCCTAGTGGCTTCTTAAGGTTGTGAACATAGCCAAATGCCTTTTCTCTGTGTTTGGAGACAATGCGGTTGGGGTTGGTCGGTTTTAAGAATCACAGGTGGGAAAACACACGCCTCTGCATTGCAGCCTTGGCAGGGGTGGGGACAGGGAGGGCTCCATGTTTCCTTTTGCCCAGCCTTCGCTGACAGGGTGCCGTCTAAATGCTTTGGACTACAACTCCCATCAGCTCTAGACAGCATGTGCTGGTTGGCCAAGGCTGCTCTAGTGAGGGTTTTTTTTAAAAAATCAGCAAACCGCAGCATCACAAAGAGCAGCAAGTATGCAGGGAAGGCAAGACAAAATCCTGAGAAAGATTTCCATGCCTTCCTGGTTGGGCACCTGAATTCAGGTTCAAGACAGGTGTAATATCTGCAGAGCTCTGAGGAGCCCTCACAGCCTTCAGTAAAAAGAAGCAGTCTACTGTATCCACAAATACAGTGGGGAATTGTGGGGGGTGATTTATGAAAACCCCATTTGACAAATTGTTGGCATGCATGGATCAGGAAAAGCAGGCTTTGGAGGAGGCCAGTTGGCCAGTGTCCTGTGTTGTCACCAACACACCTCTCCCCAATCCGCAGAAAACATTTGCAACCATTTAAAAACTGTTTGAAGCTCCTTCTAATATGGAGGAAAACACAGGCATATAAATCTGATAGTGCTTGCAAAAAAAACCCCAGTGTATTTGAAAGCATAGCAATAAAATCATCACCTTCATAATTACCAGTGCTTGCAAGAATATAGGTTATTGCAAGCACCAATGACAAGCTGTGCTGTGTCTTGGCCTGTGTGGTTGGATTTTAAACCACGTGGGCAGGGGAAAATGGGTCACCCAAGATCATTGCAATGTCAGGTGATTAACAGGTAAGTTGCACACCCCTGGTGTAAATGGAAAAGTGTGGTAATATGAAAGAAAGAAAAAGGTGTGCTGGGCCCGGGTGTAACCCGTGAAACGCAGTCCAGGACTGGTCCAGAATCCAAAGGTTCCACTGGGAGTCAGTCCGACAGGGCCGAGGCAGGACACGAGGCAGGAAACCAGGCAAGGACAGGTACAGGATCTCAGGCAGGATCTAGTATACAGCAATGTTGCTTCCGCAACTTGGGGTGGGGTCCGACAGCCTTTTATCTTTGTTGGGGTAGCGGCCGGTCCTGATCCCCCGGCGACTCACCTCCCTGTTTCACCCAAAGGCGAGCACTCCTCCTGCGAGTACTCAGGTCTCTCCTTCTCTCAGACCTTAGTCTCTGCAGCTCGGGAGACGTCAGTGGGTTACTAGACCCAGGGGCCGCCTCAGCCTCCCCTGACCAAACCAGTAGTGGAGCAGCTGTGATGGCCCAGCTGAAGACAACGAGGTAATCCCTGCATCTGGAGCCAGAGCAGGCTCAGGCCCCTGACTCGGCCCAGCTGGTGCTTGTTGCAGGGGAACCTGTGCAGACTGGGACTCTTCAGGTTCAGGCCCCAGACTTGGTTCAGATGATGCCTGAGGCAAAGGATCCGGTGCAGACTGAGTCACCTCTGGTTCCGAGTCCGAGCCTGAGTCCCAGGCCATCACAAAAGGCACCTTATACGTAGACCATTTGTCCATCTAAGTTGGTGTTGTCTACACTGACTGGCAGCAGCTCTCCAGGGCTTCAGACAGGGAGGAGCACAGAAAGAAGAAACACAATGGTGCACCTTCATCAGCACAACCGAACGCCTTCATCTGCCCCAGCTGCAAAAAACATGTCTCTCCCGTATCAGTCTTTACAGCCACTGCAGGAGCTGTAACTCCTGTTTGACTTCACCCCCAAAGGCACATTCCTCCATTGTCTCCTGAGAGAGGCGGATGCCAGCCAACCAGGAGATGTCAGGGAGTGGACCTGGGACCTTCTGCATGCAACGCACTTGCTCTGCTACTGAGCTCTGGCTCTCCCGAAGGGGTAGCTTGCCTGGAGCATGCAGACTGAAGTGAGACTCACACTGCCTGATATGCTGCTAGCATGCAAAGCTGGGCTCAAGCTGCGGGTGAGGAACCCACTTGTGACCCCTCCTTAAATACTACACCACCCTTCCCCTCTCACATACTTTGGCGAGAGGAAGCTGGGTGTGCAGAGAGGCTGTTAACTCTGCATCTCATATGCCTACAGTCAATTCCACAATGCTTGGAGCCCTCTTTCCTTTCCAGCAGTCATAGTCAGAAAAAGATGACAACTGTGCAAGGAGCACCTGCTAAAGATTCGGAAACCTAGGCGAAGGGATTTTCAGACACGGTTCTTCTGCCAGTCCTGTGAAGACCTGCCACAGTCTGTACCCATTCAGGGCTGGGGCTGGGGAAATGGTAGAGGCTGGCAGTGGTGCAGACCAGGTCACAGAGGATGGTCAGACCGAAGCTGGCCAGGTGGGTGGGCGGGAGGGAGGCCGGGATGTAGCTGGAAGAGAATGAGGAGGGATTGCTTTGTCTCTTGCAAGGATGGGTGAATATGTCAGTTATGATTTCTCTCAGTTGCTCATTTGTATAAGTTCAGTTCTCCAAATTTCCACATCAGTTTGTGATGTGTGTGTGTGTGTGTGTGTGTGTGTGTATTTAAAAAAGTTATTGTGAAAATTCATCAGCATTTTTTTGCGAGTTTCCCCTATTATATGCATTTTATATGCAATTTTACACAATACACACATTTTTGCAAAACAAGCTCCCTTAATATGATGCGTTTTTGGATGCTGTTTTCACTAATCAGCATTTTTACTTTGTACACTGGTTCCTATACTTCTCTCTCCCCTACCCCACAGACAATCTGAAAATCCCTGAGGGTCTAGGCAGGCCACTTAATGATCTTTCTGCCTGTTGTAGCAATTGTAGGGGTGCTGTATGATTTCTCATTGTATTTTTACAAAGATGCCATGGAACTACCTGAATGAAGCAGTCATCCATGGAACACAGTTTGGGAACCCCTACTCTGGTATTTGCATTTTTGCATACATTATTTGGCAGGAGAACTGCCCTTGCACAGTTTGAAAAAGTGTGCATTGCAAAGGATGGCTGCATTTCAGTTTGCAGATTGTTTTGGAATTAGGTAGGTTTGCGAACTGAATCAAATTCCATCCCCATCCCGTGTCGCTTGGGGTGTGCGGACAGAGGAAGGGGTGCAAATCAGTCCGGGAGACCATACAATGAAAGGTCCGCCCTGCTGGGCTGGCCACTGGCATTACCTCATTGTCGCTGTTGCGCTGGAAGGCCAGGTTCCGGGGCAAAGAGGCCTGTGCTCGCGGAAGGTTGGCGTGTGGTTCGTACAGCTGGTCCTTCACAATGTAGGTACATTGATCCTCAAAACCCTCCTCTCTCCATGGAATGCTGGTCTCTTCCTTCATCCTTCTCCTCTCAATTCAGCCACGGGATGGGGAACAGAACCTGGCACAAGAGTGAAGGATTTTATTTGTTTGTTGGTTTCACAGGGATACATAGCTAAGTCTAGGTACCAGGGGGATCTGTGACAATTCCTGGAATCACTTATTCCCGGAGGCGTACCTAGGGTCCCTTGTACCCTTGGTAAGGAGCTGTACTGGAGAAACTCCTGCCCCCCAAAAAGAATCTGAGAAACAGGCGAGGTTGTCTGAACAGGAGGAACGAGCCTCCTTGGGGCTAGATGGGGACACCCATGCTGCTCTCTGCCTGGAAGATGCTCCAAAGACCCCTTTCCATCAGCAGCAGCAGCAGCAGCAGCAGCTGGAAATCCTGGCAGATTCCCTATTCAGGCAAAGCAGGTGCTGGCAAGGTGGCTGCAGGTTCAGGAGGACTCCAATGCCTGAGAGGTGATTTTTGTGGCTCCCCCTGGGCTTGTACCCTGGGGAGAGCAGTTTCGCCAATCCCTAACTATGCTTCTGCACATTCTGCCCACCAGTGGTTTTTTTCTGGGGGGACACAGGGGTACGCATACACCTAAACATTTTGTGAATCTAAGTTTGGTCTCATTGAGGGGCAGTAGTTCAATATGAGTAGGAAAATGAGAGTCCCCCTAAACATTTTTTTGGGGGGGGGGAAGCACTGCTGCCCACTAATATCTCACCCCTTTCTCAAATTATTTGTTATTTAAAGTGTTTTTTAAGTAAAAAAATAAAATAAAAGCCCATAGGAAATGAAAATAACATCAATAAATATTTTTATAGCTAATTTGGAATTTCAGAGGTAGAAATAAAGGGAACAAGAGAAGCGGAAAACAGTTTGTTCATATTTATTGTCTGTGGGCACTTCCACTTCACTGTTTTCTGGTGGGATTCAGTCACACACCAGCAAATTCAGGTAGTGCAATTAAAGTTGCTTTGGTGCTCTTGTGCGATAAACCTGCTCTCCCCACCCACCCCGACTTCCAATTGGAGCTTTTAGTGACCAGAAAAGTGATGAGTAAATGCACTGGAAAGTGTGGGGTAACATTTGCTTGATGTCACATCGTGAACAAGTCGGAACAAATGCTAAATAAGTGGCCAGCATTGTCTATTCTCCCTGCAACCCTACACCAGTGTGGTGTAGTGGTTAAGAGCGGTGGACTCGTAATCTGGTGAACCGGGTTCATGTCTCTGCTCCTCCACATGCAGCTGCTGGGTGACCTTGGGCTAGTCACACTTCTCTGAAGTCTATTAGCCCCACTCACCCCACAGAGTGTTTGTTTTGAGGGAGGAAGGGAAAGGAGAATGTTAGCCGCTTTGAGACTCCTTCGGGTAGTGATAAAGCGGGATATCAAATCCAAACTCTTCCTCTTCTTCCTCTGTGCAAGCAAAATCAGGATGAATTTCCTAAGTCAGCAGGTCGGCTGGGAGTGACCCACCTTCACAAATGGATATCTGTTGCTTGCTCTGCCTTTTGCAGGTTCTGAAGGTATATCTGTCCAAGTGGCGCTGAGCTGCTGATCCCCCGTGTTTACATAGGAAGAGCATATGAACAGGTAAGTTGCGTCCATCCTAACTGCAGGTGCACTTCTGTACTGTTGTGATAAATGCAACCCAAGAACTGCTGCTTTATCTAATTAAATCTTGCTCCCATTCATGATTTTGGACCGGTTGCATGAGCAGTTTTGGAAACTAGGGCTGGGCCGGCGCTATTATTTAGGCAGAGCAAGGCAGCTGCCTCAGGTGGCAGATGCTGGTGTCTGTGGACTCTGGCAATGAGGTGCTGGAGGGGACAGAGTTTTGGCTGCTCCACAGCCGGCTCAGCACCCCCTAGGCCAGCCTGCTGATTTCAGGTACTGTACAGTGGAGGACACTGTGCCATTTTGGGGTCCACCTCAGGTGCCAAAATGTCTGGGGCTGGCTTTGTTTAAAGGCACAGTGTGTACAACACCCAGTTCCCACTCCTACTACACATGTGGGGAGCTCCTGCTGCTGGTGTAATTTGGGGCAGGGTGGCTGAGTGACAAACCACTGGACGGGCTCCAGTGCTGAGGCCCAGGCCCACTGATGGTCCCTGGTCCGCAGTTTGATAAACACTGTTTCAATTCATAAACCAGTAACAAAAAATAGGGGGGAATCTTATCCTATCCTGAAGGCAGACTACAATTATACCCCTTCTGCAAGGATGTTTTTTTGTTTAGTAACTTTTTTTAACCAACTCCTGTTCTTATGCCTCTAACAAACTGGTCTACTGCTATTAGCAGGTGGTTATATTTATTGCCATGCCCTGAAAAGCTTATTCTGCTGATTTTTCCTCCTCAGGGTTACTTTTAAAGGAACAGGAGCAGTCCATGCCAGTTATTTATTTATTTGGGTCACTTGGCAATCTTAACCTTACATCTAGTTTAGCATGTGCTTAGAGGCATGCTTGCAGTTCCCTAGTGATAAAAGTAGCAGTTTTCCCCATAGTACAACAAAAATTTGTTAACCAGTTCATTTATTACAAAACTGGATTTTGTTTTCAGTTCATTTCTTACACAGGGACTTCCATTTCTATAGCCCTACTATTACTAGGAAGCAGAGTGTAGCTGAATCTCATCCATTCTGACAAAAGCTCTGTGAGAAGGGCAGGCCATCTAACAATTCCCATTTCACAGATTGGAGGACTGAGGCAGAGAGACTGCGGTTTGCCCCAGGACAGTGTGAGTTACAAGCTAAGCTGGCACATCAGCTCTGCTGTTCTATGAAAGTGGAGGCAAAGTGTTGTCCACTGGGCTGCTTTGGTCCTCATTTACAGTGGGAGTGCGCAGATTGCTAAACATGCACACCTCCTGCCTCCCAAGACAGAGATGAAAAATGTGCACTTACTTTGATTTGCCTTTTTCTGGTGTGGCTGCAGGCAGTCCATGGTGGCCCTGCCTGGCCTCCCGCTCTCACCATTCCATTCCCATCACTTCCCAGGACCACCACCAGCAGATGATTCTGACAGTATGTTTTTCCAAACGCACTTTGCAAGGATATCACGTGGCAGGGGATTACAGGGGATTAGCTGGAGATGGTTCCTGTTTCTCCCAGCAGAAAAAGCGGGTCCAGATGGAGGATTTGGTAGCCCCTCTACTTAGAAGGCTAAGATAATGTTAACGGCAGCAGCCTCAGCAGGAGGGATGCCCTGACCCCGGCATGAACCAGGAGGTGGCCTGTTGAGGTTTTGTCTGACCCACTTGGTGGAAATTAGCATTGCCCATCAGCCAACTCATCCAAGAATGAAACGTTTTCAGTTTGAATGAAAATCAAGATGAAATTAAAGCTTCCTGACCAACCAAAGCTTGCTCGGAGCTACTGGTCATGGCTATATTTTCTAACAGTAGTAAATATGCTTAGCATTTTTAGAGATCCGCAGGAGGAGGAATTGATTGTTAAATCACTGAGAATTGTAGCTCTGTGATGAGAATAGAGGCCTCCTAACAACTCGGACACGACTAAACGACTAAACAACAACAAAACAACTCTCAGCAGCTTTAACAAACTAGACTTCCCAGGATTATATAGGGTAAGCAGTGACTGTTCAAAGTGGCATGATATTGCTTGGAATGCACTGTTTCCCATTTCCTCTATGAGTGGTAGGTGCTTTTCAAAACTCACATTACTGGATCCAACTTTTACCCAGATCCCTTGGGAGAGTGAAGTTTTTAGGCAGGTCTTTTCTCTCTTTCTGTCTCTCTGTTTGGGGTGGAGTGGGAAACTGATCTGAGGGAGGGGGGAGAAAAGTGCCCACTTGAAATTCCAAATGTGCCCACAGGCCAACATCATCATCATCATCATCATATTATGAAGATTAATATACATTTGCTGGCACTTGGGGTTGAGAGATAGGTTCAAACATTTTCAAGCAGACAGTGTCCCCCAGAGAACCTTGGGTACTGCTGTTTGTTAAGGGTGCTGGGAATTGTAGCTCTGTGAGGGGTAAACTACAGTCCCCAGGATTGTTTTGGAGGAAGCTGTGTGCTTTAAAATTTGATTTAAATGTATGCTGAGGGTGTGGCAAGAGTGACTGGCCCAAGATCCACTTGGTAGGCTCTGTGGTTAGGTAGAGATCCGCACCCAGGTCTCCTTGTCCTAGCTTGACGCTATAACCCAGGCATAGGCAAACTTGGCTCTCCAGATGTTTTGGGACTACAACTCCCATCATCCCTAGCTAACAGGACCAGTGGTCAGGGATGATGGGAATTGCAGTCTCAAAACATCTGGAGGGCCGAGTTTGCCTATGCCTGCTGTAACCAATATGTTTAATTCCTGGTGCAGAAGTACCTAGAAATCACTGGTCTCTCTGTGGGTGCTGAGAAAGAGACAGAACAGTATAACTACCCTCGAAGGAATTGCTCTTTTGATGTGGGAATTGCTAGAGAACCCCACAGCAAAGAACATCTACAAACTCTGAGGCCGTCAAGTGTTTTCATGCCTAAAATGTTATACAACAACAAAAGAGAGTCCTCATCATTTCCCACTCCCCATCTGTGGTGTCAGCTAAGAGGTCTGAGGTAGTTTCTTTTTTACTACTCAGGAGTCAGCCAACCCTCCAGCACTTTCGTTGAAAATGGCTAAGCAGCAGCAGCAGCAGCAGCAGCAGCAAGGTTTGCATTCAACAGAAAGCATGATGAGGACTAAATAAATATGTAACATTTCCAGTAAAAGATTGGGGCAGAGGGGTGGGGGTACGAGGTGGAGAAAAGTGTGACAGTAGCTTGCAGGCCTCTGGGCAGTGTTGAGCGAAGTGTTGAGGAAAAGCTTAACAGAGAAAGTAATTACTCACCAGGACAGTGCCTCAAATGTTCCTAGAATAAAAATAATACTGTTTAGCAGACTTCAAACATTCAAAATCATCTCACATACATGGTCTCAGTCATTTTAGGCCTACTGTTAAACAGAGTGAGGCAGCCCTCTCAGGCAACTGATTTGTGGGTGCTATAAAGGGGCAGCAAATTGTTATCTGTTTGATGGACTATTATTACAATTATTATTTTGTGAGATTTCCTGTCTGAGGTGCCAAATTAACTTGACTAGCTTTGCATACTATTAGGGATGGGGCAGAAATGTTACTTTGTTTGCATTTTAATGAGAAACTACCTAATTTGCATTCTCAAACAAGTACACGAACCAAAGAACCGCTATCCAATGAAATTCTTTGTTTTCCAAATCTTGTGGTGCAGTTCTCCAACCAATCAATGTGTGCAACAATCCATATAACTGGGGGATATTGTACATAAAAATGTATATATGTGTGGAAATAACATTCAAAGCTGCATTATATTAGGGGAAATTGCTTGCCAGAATGTGTGTATTAGTCAAGACTGCATACAAAAATGTGGTTTTTAAAAAGAGAAATCAACAATAAAATGCTGATAGCCAGTGTGGTGTAGTGGTTAAGAGCGGTAGTCTCGTAATCTAGGGAACTGGGTTCGTGTCTCCGCTCCTCCACATGCAGCTGCTGGGTGACCTTGGGCCAGTCACACTTCTCTGAAGTCTCAGCCCCACTCACCTCACAGAGTGTTTGTTGTGGGGGAGGAAGGGAAAGGAGAATGTTAGCCGCTTTGAGACTCCTTAAAGGGAGTGAAAGGCGGGATATCAAATCCAAACTCTTCTTCTTCTGATAGATGTTCCTGATCTTTTTTTCTTCTTAAAAAAACCCATTCTTGCAAATTGCTGCAGAAATGAATTTAAGATTGAAAAAAATGGGAAACGGAGAGAAACTGCCCTATACCTGGAGGTCTCGGGGTGCTTCACAGAATAAAATCAAAATATAAAATCACAAAATACATAATCAAAACAAAAATACCAACCCAATAACGCCCCCCAACCCACATTTTAAAAGGGCATAGGATGTCAATCAAATCAACCAAAGGCCTGGTTAAGAAGGAACGTTTTTGCCTGGCTCCTAAAGGTGTATGATGATGGCACCAGGCAAACTTCCCTGGGGAAAGCATTCCACAGACAGGGAGCCACTGCAGAGAAGGCCCGTTCTCGTGTTGCCACCCTCCAGACCTCTCGAGCTGGAGGCACACGAAGGAGGGTCTCAGAAGATGATCTCATGGTCTGGGTAGGTTCATATGGAAAGAGGCAGCCCTTGAGATATAGCGGTTCTGAGCCATTTAAGACTTTATAGGTCAAAACCAGCACTTTGAATTGGGCCCGGAAACTAACTGGTAGCCAGTGCAGTCGGACCAGGATTGGGGTAATATGCTCAAACCGTCTTGTTCCAGTGAGCAACCTGGCCGCTGAATTCTGCCCTAGCTAAAGTTTCTGAACTGTCTTCAGAGACAGCCCTACGTATAACACATTGCAGTAATCTAACCTTCAGGTTACTAGAGCATAGACAGTAGTTAGACTATCCCTGTCCAGATAGGGGTGTAGCTGGGCCACCAACCAAAGCTGATGGAAGGCACTCCGGGCCACTGAGGCCACCTGAACCACAAGCGACAGCAAAGGATCCAGGAGTACCCCCAAGCTACGAACCTCCTCCTTCCTTCAGAGGATGTGTAACCCCATCAAGAGCAGGCGATCTCCCATCCATCCAGTCTAGAGAACCAGCCACTAACAGTGCCTCAGTCTTATCTGGATTGGGTTTCAGTTTGTTGTCTCTCATCCAGTCCATTACTGAGGCAAGACACTGGTCCAGCACTTCCACTGCCTCAACTGCAGATGTAAAGGAGAAATAGAGCTGACTGTCATCAGCATACTGCTGACAATGTACTCCAAACCTCTGGATAACCCCACCCAGCAGTTTCATGTAGATGTTAAACAACATAGGGAATAGGATTGAGTCCTGTTGAACCCCACATTGAAGGTTCCACAGGGTTGAAACGCATTCCCCAAGCAACACCGTCTGGAAACAGCCATCCAAGTAGGACTGGAACCACCACAAAGTGATGCCAGCCACCCCTAGTTTGGACAGTCGCTCCCAAAGGATACCATGGTCAATGGTACTGAAAGCTGCTGAGAGGTCGGGGAGAATTAACAGGGACATGTTTCCCTTGTCTCTCTCTTGACAGAGGTCATCATACAGGCTGACCAAAGCAAATTTTTTTTTTTGCCAAAACCAGGCCTAAATCCTGATTGAAATGGATCCAGAAAATCAGTTCCTTCCAAAAGTGCCTGGACCTGGTCTGTGACCATTCGCTCTAGAACCTTGCTTAGGAAAGGGAGATTAGCAACTGGCCGGTAGTTAGTTAGGTTTTCTGAATGCAGGGAAGGTTTCTTAAGGAGTGGTTTTACCACTGCCTCCTTCAAACAGACGGGGACCACCCCCTCCCATAAAGAGGCATTGATCACCTCCCTGGCCCAGCCAGCTGTTCCCTCCCTGCTGGTTTTTATCAGCCAAGAGGGACAAGGGTCTAGAGTGCAAGTGGTCGCCCTGACCGATCCGAGCACCTTGTCCACATCCTCGAGCCTTACCAACCGAAACTCATCCAACACAACAGGACTAGACTGTGTGCTGAACACCCCATGAGATTCATCTGCTATAACAGCAGAATCAATGTCTTGGTGGATGCGAGCGATTTTGTCCTCAAAATGCTTTGCAGACAAGTCACAGTGAGCTACCATTGGTTCTACCACCTCCTTTGGGCCAGCCTGTAAAAGGCCCCATACAACCCGGAAAAGGTCTACTCTATACCAATTCAAATGTCTTGGGGTGGCAAGATGACCCCAAACAAAGCAACGTGCATTGTGCCGTGTCAGTAAAAAGACACTTGCCTGCTTCCCTGGGTTGGTATTTGTTTGAAAAACCACATGGGGCATTTTTCTACCTAAAGAGGCTAAAACTGGCTGGGACAAGAAAACACTCCAACTGCAAAAATCAATAGATTTATCCCCTCCCCACTGTATTTTTCATTTACCGAATCAAAAATCTAAGTGGTAAGTGGCTGCAGTTTGGGGGAATTGAGGAAAACGGTGCAGGAAACAATAAATTAAGAGAACTATGTTGTGGGTCTACTTCTGTGTAAATGCTACATTGTGAACTGAGTGAATTCCATCCACGTTTTCCTGGAAGGTGGTTTAAGATTGATTGTAACGGAGCAGAGATGGGGGAGAGATTTTTCCTATCTATTATGTTTATGGTATAGCAAATGAATTATTTTATATCAGTAGTTGAGGTAGATTTTCTTCCTAGTTTCAGAAATATCATTACTCCTGTGATCATTATAGATTCCTAGAACCTCCATAATATTTACAGAACAAGATAGCTCCCACATCAGATGTCCTTTTTATTGTGCATTCATGACAATTTGTGCTTATGTTGGTATCGGGGTGGTAATATGTGATCCTTTCAACCCTGTTTGTCCCTGCAAATGCTTTGGGGTGGGCCTACTGCTTCCTGATCTTTCCTCTCTGGGGATTTTTCCACTAAAACTCGTCCCCAACTGCTTCTCTCTGTGCTGGGAAAAGATACAGGTAGCCACATCTCACAAGGTTTGATGTCTCGTATTTGTAAGCGCTGTTTTAATTTTAACATGGCAATATATTTAAAACTAATCCCAAAGGAAATACTACAGATACTACATTTCTCAAAAAGTCTAATGATATACTGTAAAGTTAAAAGGGAACTTACACTCTTTTATATCTCTTATCATGTCAGTAGATAAATCCCATACTGCATTCCCACCAACAATTAAAGCATTAAGAAAACTATATTTTCTGCATTATATATTTGTGTTTAGTTTGCTTTATTTCTCTGGCTACCTGTGTTCTCCTCACACCAGGAACGAATGGTAACTTTGAGGGTGTAGGGAACAATTTCCGTTAGGGAAATTGGGGGGGGGGGGAGTACAGGGAATGCTTTTAGGTCAGGGGTGGGTGACTTGCACCACTCCAAATGTTGCTGGACTCCAGTTCCTATCAGCACCAGTTGAAAAAGGCGTTGTGTGGACCAGTCAGTGCTGGGTTCAAATTCTGCTTCAGCTGTTCCTTTGGGGGCTCTAGATAAGCCGCTGCCTCTTATACTACAATCTTATACCTTTCTACTCAGAAGTAAGTCCCACTGAGTTCAGTGGGGCTTACTCCCAGATGCTTGCTCCTTCGTTGCTCCAGATGCTCTCTCATTCTATAAAAACTGTGATTTTCACCTGCCTTTGCTGAGGGCTTATTGTGACAAATAATATTTTGCAAGATGAAGCCTTTTACACAAATTGTCACTCATCCCAACAGTTACGGATTAAAAAATTAAAGCAACCCCGACGCCGCCCAAGAATCCTGGAAACTGTAGTTTGTTAAAGGTGCTGAGAATTGTGACACAATGGGGAGTAAGATGCAGCTCCCAGGATTGTTAAATATGGGGGTGCACTTTAAATGTATGGTGTATATACACAGCCTTGAAGTGTATGTTATGCCTTCAGAGAGTGTGGAATGGAAAGGGCTATGTGTGCAATACTGGCCATTTTTTGCCTGATTTGCTGCATTCCATTCCGTGCAAAAGTTGTGCATTCTGTTCTATTCATATGTCTTTGTTTGATGTTCGGAGCTTTCTCCTGTGACAATGTGTCCCTCTCCCAACAGCAAGAAATTTCCCCAGTACTACACCATTGCCCTAGTGCGAGGTACCATCATTTCCCAACATGTCTTCACAGGTGATTGGTATCACTTTTTTAAAAGTTTTGAGTGTCTTTTTAACTCATCCAGCCTTGTTCTAGGAACCCAGGAATATGCCTTATACAGAGTCAGGACATTGGTCCTTCTAGCTCAGCTCTCGGTCCACCATAAATTGCCCTTTGGAAGCACCCTTTGTTCCTTATTTACTTATTTTTTTATTGCCATGCTTGCTTTAATATGTGTATTCTTAGCTGCCATGGATTGTTATTTATTTACAAAACAAAAGAGTTATGTCCAAAGTGGATCTTACTCAGAGTAAACCCACTGAAATTAATGGACATGACTAACTTCGGTCCAATAATTTTAAAAGGTCTACTCTGAGTAGAAATTGGTTGCCTACAGCCCATTATTTTTAAAATATTGTCTGCAGATCAAGCTGTTAATAAAGCCACAGGGAAACAGTTGGCAATCTATTTCTGAGCAATTAAAACAAATGAACTATCCCACCCATTTTATTTCCATTGTCCAGTTTCCATCTCCTTTACCTCCCCTCCCACCTTGCTCCTGGCCTGCAATTCCACATTTTTCTATTGCTACATGCAGTTTTTCTCTTTTTAAAATTGTTTCTATTTCCTTTCTTTTCAGTTTTGCAATTGGGGTGTTTGAACAATTTCAGTTACCCATGGCACTACTGTTTGGAGAAGACACCTATATATTTGGGGACAACAAAAAGTCTCAGCAACTCTTGAGGACACACCATAACATCTGAGGTGCTTCCACATGGCAGTTTATTGTAGACTGGATATTGGTCATAGGATACTGGTGGGCAAAGATATCAGTTCTAATTCTCTGAGTTTCTAATTTTTCCGATCTTAAATGCAGTTCTCCACATTTTCACAACAATTTGCATTAAAAAAAAAAAGACAAAAATCCTTCATGAAGTTTCACCAGGATTTTTGTACAAATTTCTCCTAATAAACTTATTTCCATATGCAATTTTGACTAATGTACACATTTTCACAAGGCTTTCCCCCCTAATACAATGCATTTTATAATTTTATTTTTGTTGTGTATACATTTTTGTACACTTTACTTGGCAAGAGAACTGCATTGCAAAATTTGCAGAAGTGCGGGTTTTGAAGCACTGCTGTGTTACGGGTTGCATACTGTTTCTGAAAGCACAAATTAGGCAGGTTCACTTTTAAATGCAAAATGATGTGACCTTCTCCCTGATTCCTAACTGCTCGTGCATGCAAGGTTTTTGTGGCAATGTTTTAGGATTTTCCATGGAAATCGTCAAATGGGAAAATAATGCAGGGCAGAATTTTGAAGAGGATATCATTGTGATCACTGCGCACAACATGCATGTGTGCACAGCACCAGGTCTGCAATAAATTGCCACCTACAAGGCCCCCACGACTCTTCAAATTCCGCCGAAACAAATGGCAAAGTGTGCCTATGATACCTTTGCCAAATGATACCTTGCCAAAGTACCCTTGTACCACAGCTGTTACAGCCCCTGGGCTTGTGAAGAGGTCATTCGGAAATCCAAACTTCCTATTGCTAAGAATATAAAATATGGCTATTTCTAATGGGATACCTGGATATAAAGGGAGAGCAAAGGAATGTTGCAAAACAACCCACCGAAAGAGTGAGGTAGGCACCAGAATGGAAAAGCCCTTTGCTTCCAGGGAGCTGGCAGGAGGACCAAAGATTGCCTACCTGGGTTTGGATTGCTGCTTCTTTATCTCTCAAGCCAAGAACCAGTTGTGAGAATGAAAGGGAATCCACTCTGATCTCCTTTTGGGCACGTTATGAATGATTCAGCTGAAGCAACAGGAAGTGTCCTTAATTCTTCGGCTCTTGCTATATGCTGAGAGGAAAGTCAAAGCCACTATACCACAAGGAGGAGGAGGAAGAAGAGAATATTCTCTGAGGTGCTTAGTTTCTAAGAAGAGAGGTGCCAGGGTTCAAGATAGGTTGGAAGCTGCCCTGTATGACACAGACACCCAGATGAGACACAGCTGCCCCTGATGATTCACTGGTCCAAAGACATTCTTGCATACTTGGGGGCACTCTTTTCTTCTTCTTCACATTTGCATCCTATGCTTCAGTTCAGCACCTGGGCAGAAAACAGCTTCCAGGGGCTGGTTTGGACCCTGCCCTGATAATAAAATGCAAAAGACCAGCTCCGCTCCCCTTAAAACAAACACAAAAAGCTGCCCACTGTCCCTGGGCATCTCACTCACAGCAAGCACCATGCTGTTTCACATCTTTACACTTCCAATGTGCGTAATTGTATCACAAGTCAACTTGTTAAAGAATCCAATGTACTCTTGGTCACTTACAGAGCTTTGGTTAAACTTTGCCAGGGGCAAACTAAGTCTTAGGTTAATCCTCAATTTGGGTTTTATGGGCACGGGATTGCTGCTTGTGGACACAAAATGAGGTAGTCACATTTTGGTGGCAGGTAGAATTTACCCTGAGACACAGAGCAGGCTCCAGGGATAGTCTCTGGATATTTTTTGGAGATCCAAGACTTCTAAAGGCTGTAGCCCCAGCCATGCTGTTATGTTCACTTTGAATGGAGCAGCCAAGATCATTAGGAGCAGTGTGGGAGAAATTTTAATTCATCTGTCTACTCCTGTGTGGATTTGCCTGACTCTACAGGTCAGCACTGGAGGCCATCTGCTCTATCTCTGTGTGGTTAGGTGAGTAAGAGAGACAGGTCCTGTTTGGTGGTAGTGCCTAAATATGGAATGCCCTCTCAGTGGAGATCTGCCAGGCTCCCTCTTTGACTCCTCCAGACAACCTGTTTATTAAGAATTCATCCTGATTTGCTTGCATAAAACTTGCATCAAGGTTATAGGATCAAGGAGCTGTTGTGGAAAGAGGGAGAGGGGATGGGGAGAAAGTAATCTAAAAGTGGGAGAGAGGTGGGTGGGGGAGATCCGAATGCCAGGCAATCCCACTTTCACATCTTCATCTTCTTATTCCATGGCTGGAAATAAAGTCTTGGGTTATTGCAGGTCCAAAGCGGGACATGCGCAGCCCCATCTGCATTACAGGGCATGCAAGCTTCCTTTCTCCCCCTTGAATCTCCTCTACTTTTGTGAAATGTGATATGGGCAATAAATGCCACACACACTTAACTCAGAGTAATTCCCACTGAACTTTGTTGCACCGTTAGGTCGCTTCCAGACAACCTGTTCAATGAACATCCAGCCTGGTTTGTTCATGGAGAGATTAGACAACTGTTACACCTTCCAGTGCCTTTTCCTAATGCTTTCTGTACCTGAAAATGTATTTGTTTCAGAAGAGCTCCAAACCCACTTTAATGGCGCAACCAGAATGTGCTGGGGAAGTAATTGAATCCCACACAAAAATATTGATAGGCTGGAAGATACCTTTAGCATGCAAAACCTTAGAAGCAGAGCCTTGCTACTTATCTTTGGAGTAAAGCTTTTTGTCTGAGGCTCACAGGAAACCCACAAGTGAGCAAGACATCATCTAAGGATCTCTGAGTTGAGGAACACCACAAAGAAAGTGTGGCACTGCTGAGGGGAGGGCGAGGGAGAGAAGGGAGAGAACAATTGATCAGCTTGAACTGGGGCATCTTTTTAAGGGAAGAGAGAATTCTTGGGAATGACATCAGTAAAAGAGCCCCCAACCCTGTCCCCAAGGGAAGCCAAACCATTTACTAGAGGACTGAAAGTCAAGGGCTGATGCATAGAATCCTGGAGCTGGTTTCAAATTCCTGGAATCACAGATGACACTGGGCACCTTCTGAGTTTTTCAGCCTTGATTCCAGTGCTTGCCAATAACATCTTGCTTACAGTGTGAAGAATGCGTCATCATAATAATTAGTAATAATATATATTTTTATTTATACCCCACCCATCTGGCTGGGTTTCCCCAGCCACTCTGGGACAGAACATATAAACACATAGTAATACAGTCTTGCTGCATCATTCTGATGCCAATTCTTGCGTTCATCTGTCTCTTCTTTCCACCCACTTTCATGGTGCTCTCTGCAACAGGTCATTTTGTTGTGTGTTAGGGCCTGCCCCACTTGTAAAATGCTCCTCCTGTAAAATGGGAGCAAATGCTCATTTCTCCAGCCAGGTAGAGGTTTGTTTTCTGAGCAACCAGCAAAGTGCTGGTTTGGACCTTTATGAACCTATCTAGACCCTTAAGCCTTCCTCTGAGGACTTCTCCATGTTCCTTTTCTGAAGGAGGGCTCAGAGGATGGTGACAAGCGAGAGGGCCTTTTCAGTTGTGGCTCCCCACCTGTCAAAAATCTCCCCAGTAAGGTTCGCTTGGCACAGTCATGAACTGGCAGGACAGCGGGGGGAGGAAGAGGATCCCAGCAAGGGGTGTAGCCAGGACTGAGATACACTGGGGCAAGCAGTGGGTGGGGAAGGAGAGGTTGGTGCCCCATGTAGGGCATTCTAGGAGGCAGAGACAGGCAAGGGCCCACAACCCAGCTCCCTAGTTGGCCAGGTAGAACAGGGGTAGGCAACCTAAGGCCCGGGGGCTGGATGTGGCCTAATCACCTTCTAAATCCGGCCCGCAGACGGTGCGGGAATCAGCGTGTTTTTACATGAGTAGAATGTGTCCTTTTATTTAAGATGCATCTCTGGGGCATAGGAATTTGTTCATTATTCTCCCCCCAAAAATATAGTCTGGACCACCACATGGTCTGAGGGACGGTGGACCAGCCCACAGCTGAAAAAGGTTTCTGACCCCTGAGGTAGAGCTTGCAATCTCTGGGAGGAGGGGTGTGATTCCTCAGATGGAGCTGGCTTGGAACAGGTGTGGGTCACCTGCCTCATCAAGCCCAGATGCTGCAATCAGCATGCAAAGTACCAAAGGGAAGCGGTGCTATGTCTGCTCAACTGCCTACCTTGACTTAGATGCTCCTGGACCTCCACGGGACTGTGCTTCAGGGTTGACTCTGGACTGTATCCTGACTGCTGGACTTCAGACTTGACTACTTGAATTGACCTTGAACCTCATTTTCTGACCTTTGGACTTTGCTTATGTGGATTGACCCTTAGACTTGGCCTACTGATTTACTGCCAGGTAGGCCAGCGGTCCAGGGCAGGCACCCTCATTGACACTGCCAGCTAAAGTTTTACTGTTTTACCAAGGCTTTTGATAGACTGAAATGATATTTTCTTATTAGCGTGCTTCCAATCTTGCTGTTATGGGAGTTATTGTTCTGTTTTTACAATACAATGTTTTATATTGTTACTCTGGTGTAAATCACTGGGAAACTGTCAGGTAACAAATGAATAGCAAGTCTAATTAATAATAATGGTAATAGTGCTTGTGATAGTACTGGTATATCTGAAAACTACAATGCATGTAGGAGTTGTGCCAATCTCATGATTCATTTCTGCATTTAGGGGCAAAGGAGCATAGCTTGAACTACCCCATATACTTGCCACTTCCTTGCAAGAGGCAGCAAATTTGTCTGGTTCTGCATATAATTTTACTGTCTGTCAATTGCCTGTTAATCCTTTGAAATCCATAAACCAAGCCTCCCTTCTCCTCCTGAAATTCCCTTCCATTTATGTCATTAAGCAATAACAGTACTCCTTTTACTCTCAGGTGTTGGGATCCCTCCCCTCACATCCTAGGGTTGCTATACGTCTGAAATTTCCTGGACACATCTGGAATACTGCAGTCAGCAGCAGTTTGAAATATGGCAACCCCTATCACACCAGTGCCTTTTCCTGTTCCTCTTCTGTAGAGCAAAGCAAGACACTATTCTCAGGTGACGTTCTTCGTAGAAGGTGGGTGTACAAATTCATTTGATATAATGCATTTATTCCAGGTGTAGGGATGAGAGAAAAAAACAAAGTCGGTTCACATTTAAAGCCGAACCTATCAAAGCCACACCTTCTGAAACTATAT